ATTTTTATTGTAAATTAAATAACAGTATATACAGTATTATATACCACTGTATTTCCGATTGAATGGTGTGTTTCGTTAGATAATATCAGTTATTATTATTATTATTATTACATTACTTTAGTGACAGTAATGCACAGAAACAGGGGATAGGGAGACAAGGCTACCGGTGCTTCTCTTTGATAACACTTCCCGATTGATAGCATATTTTTGGTTGTATAATACAAACATCATCTTTGTTTGTACAGTATGTATGTATGTGTGTGTGTGTGTGCTTAACGGTGTTACCAAGGGTTGGGAGTAATACATATATATATACAGTATATATGTATTTAAATAATAAATACTCTTTATTTTAATTAGTTTTTTTAAAAAAAAATATATTTTTATTAATTATTATCAATTTACTAAAAAATATTGTCAAAAAATAATTAATCATCAATGACTTGATTTAATTTATATATATAAAAAATTTTAATTAACAAAAACAAGATATATATAATATATTTTTATGTATGTGATAATGTCAATTGATATATATTTTTTAATTTTATTTTTTATTTCAATAGTAAAATATATGAAAAACAAATTTCATGGTCAATGTAGTCTAATTTATTTTATATATAATAATAATTATTATTATTATGTCCTAATAATAGATTTATTTTGTTATGAATAATAATTTTAATAATAATTTAGTAATAAACAAAATCAAACATAACAAATTAATTTAATAATAATAATAATAAATATAAATAGTTAAATAACAGTAAATAACTAAATATAGCTCTAATTATTTGACAATTTGTTTAAATAAATAAATAAATAAATTGTTATTTTTGCCTCGTGTTATTAATATAAAAATATAAATAAACACACACAAAAATCATATATAAATACACATATATATTATATATTAATATATAATATTTATTTATTTATTATTAATTTTTATCAATATCATTTATTAACAGATATACAATATTTTTTTTTTTTAAATTATTATCAAATGTTTTTATAGGAAATCTTCCAAACATTCATTGGGTTTCATTATAATATTAATAGTCAATAGTCTTTATAGACAACTCATATGCTTTTTATTTATTTATTTATATTGAAATATGTTGAAAATACATACACAGTGTATATATATATATATTCTTATAATAATAATAATATTATTATTATTATTATTAATAGCTATGTCAACAAACCTAATTGGCACCAAAAAAAAGTTAATGCTAATAATAATTATTATTTTTACTAATAGTTATTGAACATTGTTTCTAGCAATTGAAAGTTATTTAATTATTTTTTGATTTGACATTGATAACTTATTTTTCTAATAAATTATATAACTGTATTAATATATGATCAAATATAACCTTTTATGATATTATATAAGCTTATATGATGATAGTATACATGACCCATACATTTACATCAATCAAACAATTCAAAAAAAATATCGTATACATACCCTTTACGCTATATTATACATATATATTATATATAATATAATATTAATATAAACACACGTGTGTATCCGATAAATTATATTTGATTTAAAAAAAATTGTTTATCAAATATAACAAAAAAAATATCTAATATACAGTACATTTATTTATCAATCCAAGTACAGTAAGGTTATTGTAGAAATTTGATTTAACTAAATAAAAAAATAAAGTTTTACATTACAAAGTTCAATATTACTATTACAGTAATAATACAGTATTAATCAATATTAGTCTATTATCATATTATTTTTATTTTAATAATTTAATAAATTATTGTAAAAGATTAATATTTATGAATTCAGTTTTTAAAAATTAACTAAACTATACATTTACTATACAGTAATTTTCCATTAGAAATAATTTAATTAATATATCAACAAAAAAAATTATTTAGGATATCTATTTTGATTTTATAGTTTTAAATTTTTATCTCTCTCTCTCTCTATTAATTTCTACACACAATAATAATTATTATTATTGTTAAACAATCATATATTTTTTCATAATATATGCGTTCAAAGTCCTAATTTTTATTTAAATATCAATAATATCAGTATTTTATTTAAAAAAGTGCTATTTTAATAAAAATAATAATTAATGATCCGTTAGCCACGTTTTCAATTAATACATTAACACCAATATATATATTATATTATAGAGAGAAAGAGAGAGAGAGAGAGCACCGGTACTATTATACCTTATATTAGTTAACATTTATAAAAAGTATAGTACATTGATATCAAACAATTATGGCACTTAAAGGTTACACATGATTTAACCCACAATTTTATTTTAACCCCCTCCCCTCTCCCCACTATCTATAATAAAACCCCTTTTTTGATAAATAAATAGATTACACACACATATGTGACTATCCTTAATAGTCACACACGTGTGTGTGTGCTATCGATTTGTGTGAAATCATATACAAATTTTTAATAGTATTAGTAATAGTATTACACACAAAAAAAGTCAAATGTAATAGTAGTATAGGTAGTGGTAGTAATAGTCAATAATCTATATAATAAATTGTTGACTTTTTAATCACAAATTAAATCCAATAATCTTTTTTTTTATTTTAATCTACATGTGTCGTCTAAAACTAATATTATTTATATTTAATTCAAGGGGAATACCTACTTGAATATACCACTCCTCCAGAATGTGTGAGTGTGTGTTTGCACTACACATACATGTGCTCTCTCTCTCTCTCTCTCTCTCTCTCTCTCTCTCTCTCTCTCTCTCTCTCTCTCTCTATTGAAATCTCAGACAATTTGGTAAAGTTGCGAGACATCCATACATATAAAAATAAGTTATATATATATATATATATATATATAGTTATCTCTCTTTTATTTATTCAGAAAATTTTCCGTCACGACTGTTTTGACTGCCGGTGCTAATGATGGAAATGTTTTCCTCGTGTTGTTATATTTTCTCTTTCCTCCCCCTCCCTTATAATTCCCCCTTTTTTTAAAAAAAAATAAAATAATCTATACATATAAATCACTGATTAGTTACAAAATTAAAATGGTGTTCCCCCCTTATTATCACAAAACTACTTGTGTGCCTCTACCCATACACACACACACACACACACACACAAACATATGTATTATAGATATTTCTGAATAAAGTATATAAATATCGCCAGCAAAATGAAAACTTCAATCAATTGAAAAAACTTGAATTTCATTCAATAATAATAACAACAAAAAAAGTTTTACTAAACAATTTTAAAACACAACTTTCTCGAAGTGAATTTGATTTATAATTTTAATTAAAAACTGTGTTTTTATTAATAATAATTATTATTATTTTGGATTTAAATTTAATACAAACAATAATATAATGGAGTTTTACAACAACCAAATCATCGACAACTATATCAATGAAGACGATATTGTCCTCAAAAATCGTTCAAACAATTGCCGCCAAAACAACAGGAGGAGGAGGACATCATCGCAAAAGTCATCGGCCATGAGGACAGCCGCCGCCGCCAACAATCAGACAGACAAACGTGCGGTACTGATAGAGGCGCTAATGAAATTGGCCGCCGCCCGATCTGATGGCCAGTTAAGCGATATGTCTAACTCAATGATCAACAATCGGCTAACATCGCCGATGGAGATCATGAATATGATTAACAATACTACTAAACTATCGTCGGATAACCAATGGAAAGGTATGGTCAGTGAGGACATGGATGATGATGAGGAACGGGAGAATCAATTACCATTGATTGAAGACTATTTACCTGAAACTAACAGTGATAACGATGCTGATGATGATGATGATGATCAACATGATTATCTGTCATATGATAACAGTACGGATAGTTGGCATAACTCGGAGCTCCGATACTATGAGAAAAATATCATTGAAAAATCATAGATCAAAAAAAAATTTTGATTTAATTTTTTTTATTGTATAATATTTATATCAATATATAATTTTGTAAAATATTGTAAATATTATTATTATTATTTTGAAATGCATTTATTACTAATATTATTATTATTTGAAAAGATAATTATAATCTCAGATATCATATTTTAATGATTTATTTTATTTTTTGCTCATTTGAAAACAATATATCATATATTTATTTGATTTTTAAAGTCATAATTTGTGATTTCATTTGTGATTTGAATTATTATTATTTTTTTGCATAAATAAAATTAATATTTATTATTTTTGAATTATCAAAAAATATATATTTGTATATTTATTTACATATAATTAACAGTATTATATACTAAAATAGATATTTTCTAGAAGATTACAAAAATGTTTGAAAAAAAATTTATTGTTTATTTTTAAATAATTAAATAAATGCATTATTATAATTATTTATTTATTTATACTACTGTATATAATTTAGTAAAATCAAAATATTTGTAAATAATTATAATAATTTTAGTATATAATAATTATTTTTGTATTAATAAAACTAATATTAATTTTTCAACAAAAATAAATTATTACATTTAATAGTTAACTGATCTTTTATAACATAATGCCGACTAATATTACTGTATTATCATTATATCATATATGATGACACAATTAGTTATAAAAAAATAATAATATAATTATTAAATTAATTATTAAAAAGAAATTATAGTATATATCAAAAAAATAAATTAAATTTAACAATAAATATATAAAAGTATTATCTCTTTCACACTACTAATAAAACACAAAATAAAATATATATAAAATTTTATATATAAATGCTATAAAATGATATAAAAATATAAATAATAAACAATTTTTCTTAACTGCAATTAAAGTAAGTGTATTAACAATAAAAAAAGATAATAATAATAATAATAAATGATTGTAAAATGTTTTCAAATTTTCAATTTCTATTATACTATAAAATAAAATCATTTAATAATAATAATAATAATAATATCACACAGAAAATGTAATTTAAATAATTAATTATCGATCTATTTATTAAAATTTATTTAATCAATAATAATAATAATTGAAATAATAATAATAAACAACATATAATGCCATCACCAATGAACAAATGGTTTCCGCACCGGTATCGGGTGGGTGTGTTGGGTATGTTTGCCTGTGCATTGGTCTATACGTTGCGGGTTAATATCAACGTTACAATCGTTGCAATGACCAACTCGTCCGATCGGGTTATACAACATCCGAGCGACTGGTGTCCAGAATATTCTGATTCGGGCGGCTATGACGGCAACGGTTATCAGGTATGGCCTAACACTAGATGATGGTGATGTCTCTGTTCCCCTGCCCCCACCCCCATTGAAATTAAATGCACAGTTTTCATGTTTGTTTTTTTGTTGCCCACACCACGTGCACACACACACACACACCCACCCACCCATACACACCCACCCATACACACACACACACACACACACTAATAGACTACCAAAGTGTACGACTGGTCGGAACCGATTCAGGGCACTATACTGGGCGCCTATTTCTACGGTTTTACGGCCACACAGATCATCGGCGGTCTACTAACCGAACGTTTCGGTGCCAAATGGGTGTGCGGTACAGGTATTGCGATACCGGCGTTGATCAATGCCCTGTCACCGGTAGCAGCGGACGGCCACTACGGCTATCTGATGGCCACCCGTATAGTTGTCGGTTCGTTTCACGGCTTTGTCTATTCGTCGCTGTTTTCGATGTACGCCAAATGGTTTGCCGCACACGAACGGACAGTGGCCATAGCCTGTATGTGGTTCGGGTCGAATATGGGCGGCGTTTTTATGTCGCCAATTGCCGGCTATCTGTCTCGGCACGGGTTTGCCGGCGGTTGGCCATCGGTTTTCTATGTGTCCAGTATTATACATTCGGTTTGGCTGGTGTTTTGGTGGCTGTGCGCCCACGACTCGCCCGCCAATGACCGCCGTATTAGTCCCGATGAACACTTGTATATATTGCAAAACACTGACTGTATGATTGAAAAGGTTTATATAGTTTTTTTTGTTGAATTAAATAATAATAGTTATTATACACAAAAAAATAGTTATATTTTTTTATTATAACAAAAAAAAACTTATTTATATTTCACACTCAATAATATCTATTCAAAAAAAACTTATTTATATTTCATACTCAATAATATCTTTTTTAAAAAAAACTTATTTATTATTATTAAATATTTGCAATTTTAGTCATATTTTTTATTTTATTTTTTTTGGTGACTTATTTATCAAATTTTAATTTTCTGATTTTTTTTAGTTATAATAATTTTATACTAATTTTATACTAATTTTATACTAATTTTATACTAATTTTATACTAATTTTTTAAAGTTTTTTTGTACATTAAAAACTAGACATCAACACCAGTTCCCTGGCGATCCATACTGTCGTCGCGTACTGTTTACGCGTCGATAATCGTGCGCGCGTGCGGTATGTTTGGCTACTATACAATATTTACGAGCGTACCCTCATATTTTGATGCCATATTCAATGTCAAATACGTGGAAAACGGTACCTACATGGCCATCATGTATGTGGCCATCGGCTGTGCACTGTTAGCTGCCGGTCCACTGTCGACACTGTTGTTAACCAAAACAAGTATATCGCGGACACGGGTACGGAAAATCTTTCAATTGATATGTAAGTTATAATATAGTAAAAAATACGGGTCATTATCTAACTCACCCACTCCCCCCTCCCACACCCCACCCGCTTAATACAGCACAGATAGGTCCGGGCATTTGTCTAGCACTGGTACCCTCTATGGACTGTAATCTGATAGCCGTAGTCGTACTCATTGTGGTCAGTATGCTATTGTACGGTTTTCGGACGGGCGGCGAATACCCGATAATACCGGAATACGCGCCCGAATTTACCGGCGTAGTATTCGGTTTGACCAATACGTTGGGTGCGGCCATGGGTTTTCTGGCGCCGATAATTGTCGGTCAGGTGCTCAATATGGACAGCAATGTAAGTGTTTTACTAATATATAGCTAGTGTTGCAAAAAAAACACAAATTAATTATCAAAAAATCACATTTTTTTATTAAATTGTGTTTCCGGTATTCCCGGGTCATCGGGTAATATAGGTCGTGACCCGTGAAAAGTGGAATATAGTATTCTACATAATGGCCGGCCTATATCTGTTGGGCGCCGTATTGTTTGAACTGCTGGCCACTGCCGACCGTCAGGACTGGTCGTATGTAAAACAAGTGGTCGGCAGTAATATCGAGTTGAATGAACTGTCCGGCAATAGTCGGTCGACAATCAAATTTCAGACAAGATATCGGATATTTTCCAGATATAAATCAAATCAAATACCAGAAAATACCGAAACTCCCGATTGGATTGTATTCAAGAAAAATACTTTAGTTTATTAAATATTTTTTTAAAAAAATAATAATTATTAAATATATATCAATATATATCAATAGTTTATTGATGTAAATATTTTTTTTTATCAAACATGTTGTGTGTAAATATCATTCAATTTATTTTTATTAAATGAATATAATTTTAAAATAAATAAATTTTAGTCAAAATAAAATTATCAATGACTTTGTTTTTTTTAAAAAAAATAAATTATTACTAATAAAACTTATTTTAAATATTTTAAATAAACATATATTTATCATATGTTTTCAACTACTTATTAATCTGATTATATAATAATAATAATAATTATTATTATTATTATTTCAAGTTTGAAATATTTGATTTGAAATTTGAAATAATTTAATATATGAGTCAATCTTTATTTCTATACTTTATTAGATATACTTAAACCCATTAAACTTATTATACTATTGATAATTAATTTCTATTGACTATACTATCATCATTGTTAGTAATATTACAAACCAAACAAAATGTTATTTAAAATTTCAACAAAATAATTTTTTTTTAAAAAAATTATTTAAGTTTATATTAATACAAACAAAACAACAAAAAACTTTTAGTATTAATATATAGCTATAAAAGGTTAGACTCTCTAAACCATTATTATTATTATTATAATAAACTTAATAATAATATCAAACATTTTTATTTCAAGACTTTTATATTTGTTGACTGATTGATGTCATTGGGAAGCCATGGCGTTGTTGATGATGACCACTAACGATGACCACAATAAGTCTGGGCCGGCGTCGGCATCGGCGTCGACAGCAAAGGCAACGGCAGCATCGGTAACGGCGGCAGCGGTAACGGCAACTGCGGCCGACATTAATAATGGCGAACCACCTATTGATCGATTGCATCGGGAGATCAACGAGTTTTTCAGGTATATGTTGCCGACAAAAAACGAGGCCCAAGTCCGGATGCTAGTACTTCGGGAGATGATCGGTGCCATCGAAAGCCATTTGCCGAGAGTTTGTGTAAGTATTTGGGAGGCCTATCCCCACCCAACCCCACCCTACCCAACCACCCCCCCCCCCCCAAAAAAAAGGGAAAGTTATGATAATGATCTACCGTATTTCCAGGTACATTGGTTCGGCAGTTACGCTACGAAAACCTATTTACCCACTTCCGACATAGATATAGTGGTTAGCGGGCGCTGGGATTATCTACCGCTGACGGAACTGGAACAACATTTTTGTAGGCGCGGCTATTGTATGCCCCATGAAATTCAATCGCTGGCCAAAGCGGCCGTACCGATCATCAAAATGACACACAAATGGTCCCGAATTAAGATTAACATTAGTTTCAATTTGAAACATGCATCGCAAAGTGTCAATCTGGTTAAGGTAACTGTGCTTATTAAGACACATCTATCTACTGTTCCCTATCCATACATACCTGTCCTCTCTTTGTTTTTCTCAGCAATACATTCAAGATTATCCCAAACTAAAGCCGTTACTGTTTGTCATCAAGTATTTCCTATTGCAAAGAGATCTGAACGAAGTGTACAAAGGAGGGCTGAGCTCATACGCATTGGTCCTAATGGTTGTCCACTTTTTCCAGACCCGTAAACGCCAGCCGCAGCAGACGGTCAGTGCTGATGGCGTGGACGGCGACGACGACACCAATTTGGGTCGGCTGTTGATCGAGTTTTTCGAGCTGTACGGCAAAAAGTTGGACTACAATCTGGTTGGTCTACGATTGACTGACGGTACTTATCAGCCGAAACATGAACTCCTCGCTCATACCGAGTGCAGCAACAATGGTGGTGGTGGTGGTGGTGGTGGTCATCGATTTCATCAGTTTAAGCCGTCGATGTTGGTCATCGAAGATCCGTTAAACATGAAGAATAACGTCACGCGCAACTCGTACGACATACCAAAGATCAGGGATGCATTTACCGATGCCTACGATCAACTGATGACTGCCGTCGGACCGGACCCGTCGCCGTCGACGACGATATTGGGTCGTATCGTACGAGTGACCGACGAAATAGTGGACAAACGGCTCCGGGATCTCGCATTGTTTGCCAATGGAAATCGTTGGTCCCATACGTGTTACAAATGTTTCGGCAATCATAATGTAATGGGAGATAAGCGAAACTATTTTTTTTAGATAATAATATAATTATTTTATGATTTAATGTATATATATATATATATCTTAGGCTAACTGTAGGTCACGATACCAACAACTAAACCCTAGACGACAACAATATAATATACGCCATCACAACAACCAGCATAGCTTACATAGACAGCTGGCATCTGGTTATTATCACCAGGAGTTGATCACCACAGCTACCACTACCACTAACCAACGTACATCAGTTCAGTATAATAAACATAATAATAGTGATACTACTAATCCCAACACTACTACTACTACTACTACTCCTACTACCGCTACTGAAACTAATGGCACCGCCGAAAAAGGCATAACTGATAGCACAGGCGATCATATAGAAAGTCTTAGCAAATACTTGAGTAGAGGTACTGATGACGACAAAAGTGGCAATAATTGCAATACTAATAATCACAACAACAACAATGGATTTAATAATAATAATAAAGGTGTTAACTATGCATCCAATGGTCATCATTATAATCATCACTACAACAATCATAACCAGCATTATCAGCAACAGTATTATAGAAGATCGTCCTATAATAACGGATCCAATGGTTATAATAATAATAATTACAACACTACTACTACCGCTACTGAAACTAACGGCACCGCCGAAAATGACATAACCGATAGCAGCGGCGATCATATCGATAGTCATAGCAACCATAGTAGAGGTACTGATGATGACAAAAGTGGCAATAATTACAATACTAATAATCACAACAACAACAACAACAATGGATTTAATAATAATAATAATAAAGTTGCCAACTATGCATCCAATGGTCATCATCATCACAACAATCATAACCAGCATTATCAGCAACAGTATTATAGAAGATCGTCCTATAATAACGGATCAAATGGTTATAATAATAATAGCAATAACGGATCCAATGGTTATAATAATAATAGCAATAACGGATCCAATGGTTATAATAATAATAATAATAATAATAATAATAATAATAATAACTACAACAGCAACTATTACTACCATAACCACCACTATAGCAATCACTATAATCACAATAATAGTAAACCGAGTTTTACTTTCGATAAGTTGTATTCGACGACCAACTTTTATAACAGGCGTTATAATCGCAATCTGTTTGACGATAAATCGTCAACTAATTATAGAAATAATAATAATGACAATAATGAGGAGGAAATGTCTACTAAATTACTAAACAAACTGTCCTATAATAGTAGTAAAGTTGTTTGCGAGTTGTCGTCATCATCATTGGACAAACCAATTGATAATAAATTTCTGGATAAACCATTGACTACCGGCACCGACACTATAATAAAAAAAAGTTAGTCATTCCTAACTAATTGTATTATCTATTTGTTTATTTTATAACAATTTTCTATATATATATATTGTTTCCCAATTGATTGTTGATTATATATATATATATCAAAGTATACAGTGTTTACTATTAATTATTACACTATATTTCTATATCTAAGTATAATTAATTATAAAAAAGTTATATAAATTACAACAAAAAAAAGTTATATAAATTACAACAACAAAAAAAAGTTATATAAATTACAACAACAAAAAAAAGTTATATAAATTACAACAAAAAAAGTAATATACACTATAAAAAAAATCATAAAATACACAAAAAAAAATCATAACAAAAATATTATTTTTTTAAAACATTATTTATTATTATTATTATAATTATCAAATTATTTACTTTTATAATTTTATTATTTTATTATTATACATACAAACATACATACACATTGCATTAATTATAGATTTTAAAATCAATAACAAAAAATTGTTTAATAAAAAATAATGATAAATTAAATTGATTGTTATTAAATTTTATTTTAAAATTGCTATATTTTAAAATATTGAATGTTTTTAAATTTGCAAAAAAAATCAAAGTTTTAAAAAAGCTGAAAATAAATCAATTTTATGCAAACCACATATAAATAATAGTAACTTTATTATTATATATATATCATATAATCAGTAATAATAATAATAATTAATATTATTATTATTATTATTATCTATGTTTTAACAATATCACATAACCAACAAAAAAATTTTTAAAATGACTAAAAAATATTTTTTTTTTAAAATCTGTAACAAATTATAATATATAACATATAATCAAATTAAAAATTTTTTTAAAAAAATGTAAAAAATGATATGTTAAATAATAATAATTAAAATATATATATATACTGTATATATAAATACATAACAAACAAAAAAAATTAAATCCCATTTAAACAACAAAACAGTATTTCTAAGTCCATAAGGTTAGGGGCATTAGCTTCTCTCCCGTACCCCAAGCGGGCAACAGTTGGTCCTCGTTTTCAAGAAAATGTAACGGTATGAGCACCAGATGTCCGCGAATCTGACTGTCCAACAATCGTTTGGCTTCGGCCGGATCAGTGGTGGCCATTCGCGGCCGATTCAAATAGTCTTTTAGTTCGCCAAATGTTTTGACATCATCGCTGGGAACCACTGGAAACACTTGTTCGTAGATTTCGGTATTTCGGGCGGCAGTGGCCATCCATGTATCCGTATAGAAGTGGTCGCTAATCGGATCGCGAACATCAATCGTAGTATTGTTGTCTTTACCGCCGCGGCCGCCGGCGTCGTCGTCAATCAGACCCAAGTGTTCGCGCATTAGCATCCGTCTCAGTGAACCGCAAAACTTGCCGCACCGGTCGTACGGTTGGCCGTTCATGACGGCCGTCGACGACGAATCAAATTGTTGGTCAGCGATGACCACTGCAACCTCCGAGTCGCGATTGCCGAGCATTGAACGGTCGTTAATATTTGACGATCCGATAATCGCTTTGTTGTCGTCGACTAAAAGTAGTTTACTATTTAAGTTATATATAAAAAAAATAATACAAAATTAATTATTATAAGTTTCTCTGTGAGGTGGGGTGGTGTGGGGTGGAAACGGGTCTAACCTGTGAACATAGACAAGCTCAGTGGCCAGTTTGCCATGTAGTTCCCCGTAGTTTCGTAGGCCGTAAAACGATATGTACCGAAACGGATCGCCTACTTCGCGCCGCAAACGGTTTATTAGTGAATAGTCTCCGCGACATATCGTCGAGTAGTTATAGTGAGTGATGGCCTGAATACTAGTGCCACGACTGGTCCCGATTTCACCTAAAAAATAATAATATTAGTTATACTACGGGTATGTCCTCTCAAAAAAATAGCAAACAAACAGACCTTCAAAAGCCGGCAATAGTGGAAAAAAGACAAACACCCGAAACGTTTCGTTATCCCTAAACGCACGGATAATACGATGATAGAGAGCTTCGCCAATGGGATTGACCACCACTTCGGAGGTGTCCAGCGGCGGACTACGCGATTGGCTGATAAAAAATTGATTTTCAATATAGATATAATGTTTGGCCGAATTGATGAGATCGATATAAGCCGTAAGTATTGAATGATCGGTTTGTCGATGACCAATAGACCAGTGGCCTACCGATCTGACCACTTGGACGGTTACTGGACAGGCCCGGAGCAAATATTTCGGTGGTTTGTGAACCGTATCGCCAACCGATGGATAGGCTTTCGGTATAAGCCACGGGTATTGGTCATTGAATTTGGCTTTTTCAAATTTAGTAAAATTCCAGCGTTCAATAAAATGTCTGGCCACATCCCGAGCGGCCCGACCCATGACCATACAGGACAGATCGTGCCACGGCATACGCGGTGTACTGTTACGGTCGACCAGATCGGTAAACGGTAGATGCAAATCGACAAAATCTTTGACAATAAAGTTGACATAATCTTTGCCGAACCACAGTTTGGATCCGCCTTTCAGACCACCGTTGGCCGCCATACGATCGGCGGCCGACGATTTTGGTGTCATAAAAGCGTAGTCCAACTCGTCGTTGACTAATTTGTTGTTGTCGTCTGAGGCGGCGGCGGCTGCGGCAGCGGTAATGTCGATGTCTCTTAGGTCGGCCATCGAGTCCTGTGAGTCGTGTTTACTAAACTTAAAGCTTTTCATACGCTGGAAGCGCTATAATTAATTGATAATAGGATTACCGGTAATTAGTAGTTAGGGGTAAGCCCTTTAAAAAAGGCTTTCGGGATTCGGGTAACTTACGGCCACTGCTTGTAGACGTTTGGTCCGCAATTTCGAGCCCAACCTAAGTTTGAATGTATTTCCCCGTACTGTTGGTTCGTCGTCTATATCATCAACAACACCATCGACAGCAACAACGGTACTGTTTTGGTTATAATTATTATTATTTGGATCACCAATTATAATCACTTCGGGACTGTAGGGCGGCGGTTGCGGTAGTGGCGGTGGCGTCTCATTCACGTTGTGTTCCTGTATGCCGAACGAACCGTTTCGCTGTTTACCGGCGGCGGCGGTGCCGACCGTATCGACGGTATCAGCGATGACAACATTGTTGTTGACGACATCAAATCGGACCCCTCTGTCGCTGATGTTGTCCACCACTGCCGACTTAATACTTTCGTTGATCGGTTCGACACTATCTGAACGGTTGGTGCTTAACGATTGCAACGACTGTAGCGACTGGATCTTCAGTCCCATCGGTGACGTCGAGTTTCTGATCCTAAAACTGATTGTCCAAAACATAGCATAACATTAACATAACATAAGCACCGGTAGGTTGTTGTTAACACCTAAAAAAAACGGTTACATACTTTTTGTTATTGCCGTTATGGTTGTCAAACATCATGCCGGCCAAATCGGTAATTCGGTGTTCGTAGTTATCCCAGCGGCCAAAGCATAGATCAATACCGCCGACAAACGCAACCGACTGGTCGATGACAACCAATTTTTCGTGATGTGACCACAGTAGAGGTCCGCCGCGTGCGGCGTCCGGATGTCTGAGTACTTTGATGTTTGGATGCAATTTCATTAGCCATTGTTTGGTGAATAGGGAGTTAATACTGACGCCAATCTCCATTTCCTTGTAGACCAGTATATAGATCCGGACTCCCTGTTTGGCTTTGCGCTCCAGTATCCGATCCAATCGGGAATTGTCGCCGTCGATGACCTATAGGTATATATTTTTGTTATTATCAATTGAATTGCTTGAATTCAATTCATTTAGTTAGTTGCCGGCACCGGTAGTTGAACATACAGGTCGTCTCATATAGATGTGCGGACTGAGCCACCAGTCGGCAATCAAGATGTCCTGTTTGGCCGATTCGAGTGCGTCGGCCACGGCCTCGAAATGTGCGGCTCCGTCGATAAACCATTGGGCGTAGACGTCCTCGCGTATCGGTGCAAACGAGTCGTACCTGTTGGCGCTGGTAAAGTCACGGCCGTAGGTCTGTGCAGTTTTCATGAGATACTCGGCCAACTCCTGGGCCTTACGGGTTGTCCAGCATTTCAGATAGAGATCGCGCGACTTGTTTGATATGCGGACGCCGTGATGGACACCAACAGTGGACACACCTGTTTAATAGACATTATATATATATATACTCTGGTAGAGAGAGAGAGAGAGAGAGAGAGAGAACAATCCCTATCCTATCATACCTGCCTTAGTCTCAAATCCCTGATCCATAAGCATAACTGAGCGAATGCGGCCGTCTTTCGGACGCATATAGAGTATACAATTATCTTTGACTACAAGCCATCGGCGTCGCCAGTGGCCAGTGATGTCGGTTACAAAATTTTCCAGTCGCGTAAAACAGGTCGCCCGCCGAAAACCGCCGGCCCTTTTCATTAGCAAAAACTCTTTGCCTTTGTGACCCAATTCATCCACAAACGAGACGGGACTGATCTCCAGGAAGTTCATCATTTCGTGATGATTGCGATACATCGGTATTTTCAGACAGTTTTGTAGATAGAGTTCCAGTTGTTGCTACCGTTCCCCACACAAACAATACATAGTATATAATATGTCAAATTGGATGTAAGGAATTGGATGTAAGGGAATTGGATGTAAGGGAATTGAATGTAAGGGAATTGGATGTAAGGAATTGGATGTAAGGAATTGGATGTAAGGAATTGGATGTAAGGAATTGGATGTAAGGAATTGGATGTAAGGAATTGGTTGTAAGGAATTGGATGTAAGGAATTGGATGTAAGGAATTGGATGTAAGGAATTGAATGTAAGTATATCATCTAAATAGAAAATATGACATACCTTTCGCTCCTCCAGCGCCTCATTGGACAGTATTAGGGCTTCGGGACGTCGAGGAAAACGTGGTACTGGTTTGCGATTTTTCTGTGCTATAGTTTTGCGTCGTTCCCGATATTTTTTCAATGGTAACGGCAACCGCAATGTCGTACGAAACATGAGAAGCTGCTGATGAAGGTTCTGGAAATGGGTATGTCGTCTCTTAACCTGCCATTTATAGTGCAAGTGTTCGACTTCGATGGTATACAGATAGGGATTGAGTATGTGATGGCCGGTACGATTCTCAGCATTGACTATACGTACACGCAGCGGACAGTTGCCCAGTAGCCATCGATTGGTGGGATCGCCAAAACTTTTGGCCGGTTCGTACAGCCGTGTGTATGGTATGCGCTGTATTGATACTAAATTTGGTGGGGTGTAAGGAAAGGTATATAATTCAATTTTTTTATGGATATACAGTATACAGGTTAGGTAGCTTACGGTTGCTTAAGTTGCCGCTGTCGACAGTGTCCTCGCCGTCCATAGTAATCGGCGGTAAGTCCTCATAATCGGAGTCCTGTTCAGCGGCCACTCCTCCGACATGCGATGTCTCACTCTCTGGTGATGTCATTGTGTTATCATTTATAATATATATTTATATTAATATATATACTGTTTAATGATTTTGTTTTTAATGATGACTAGTATATACTACTGATAAATATTGAAGGAAAACAAAACATATTTTTTTTAATTAATTATTTATATATAATTTTTTTAAAAATTATTATAATATTATTATATTTTTAAATAAATTAATAAAACATTATTATTATTATTATTATTATTATTATTAAAGAAAAATATGAAATATAATATATATATACACTATTTATTATGAAAATAATTATGTTTTATAAGGAAAATATTGAAAAACTTTAAAAATAAATTTAATTAGCAAACTATTTATATAATTTACAATAATTCAAAAAATCAAACAAATTGCTAATTTAATGTCAAGGTTAGATTGATGTATATAATTACAGTATAAAAATTACTATTGATAAATTACTATACAAAATTTATTTTTTTAAATTATTAATTAAATCTAAATTTAGCTATGAAAAAAAAGTTTTTATTTGTTATAGATTAATTTTTAGATAATATACTATATTTTTTTAAATATGATATGAGTTGAAAATATAATATTAAAAACTTTATTATTATTATTAAAACATACTATTATATATATTTATTATATATATATATATATATTCACTCATTTATATTCAATGATTGTAATCATTAAAACTTAACGATTGATTGATTGAAATTATTTATAATAATAATAATAATCATTTAAATTATTATGCAAATAACAAACATGTAAACTAAGTTTATATATATATATATATATATTGTATATACAGTATTAATAATTGATAATATTTTTTTTATACTGATAATTTTGATAGTAATAAAAATAATTATAATTATTAAAAATTACTGATAATTATAGTTGCATTAAATATATTCACAAATTATTAAATTTTTTTTTTAAATTTTGCTTAATAACAAACAGACACACATTGATAGCATATTTGCATTATTGAGATAATAATTGTATTTAATATATTAAAACTCATTAAAAAAAAGTTTTTTTTTGAGTACAGTATAGACATAAAATATATATTTACTAAATGATAACAAAATTATTTGAAAACACATTTTTTTCAACACAACAAAAATAAAAAACTATAATTATATGTTTATTTAGTTGGCAAACAAAATCATCAATTTGTTTTCTAACACATAAACCATTTAATAGACAAAACATTATAATTTACATTATATATGTAATGTAATGTTTAAACATTTTACTGTTTGGTTATACAGTATAACAAAAATAAGACAACAAAAATAATTATAGTTATAGTTAGTTAAAACACTGTGTCATATAAATAAATATATACTGTATTTATATAACATATGGGTTTCAATTGACACCAATAACTGGTATGCTTTATTATATACAGTATTTATATTATTGATGTCTATGTCTATGTGTGTGTGTGTGTGTGTGTGTGTGTGTGTGTGTGTGTGTGTGTGTGTACAGTATATTGATATACTATATAAAAATTACTATAAATATAATTTATATACAAGTAAACTGTATTAATAGATATAGTTTCGTTATAGACAATATATACTATACTACTAATGGTATATTATATTTAGGCTAAAAATTTATTCATAAAATGAAAATAAAAATAAAATTTTACTTTAAATTTTATGATAACATCATCTCTCTTAAAACATAATATTTAAAATTAAAACTAATATTATAAGTATTATTATTATTACTAAAAATATTATATATATGATAAAACTCTAGATAATATAGTTACTAAAAATTTATAACAACACAAAAAAATATTTACCTAAATTATATGTATTAATAATACAAATTAAACAAATTAATTGTTTTTCAGTTTGTAATAATAATAATGAAAAAAAATTGTCGCATTTAATAAATTGTTGTAAAATTTATTATTATTATTATTATATAATATTGTTGTTGTGGTTGAACTCGTGTGACACTAAAAACTACATTTGAAATTAATTAAAATATAAAATAAAAACTTTTTTCATAATTTTTTAAAATTCAATTACAGGATACATGTGTATACATATACTTTATATATTATATTTAATATTATTGTCTAATTTTTAAAAAAATATTAAATAAATAATAACAAAATACTAGATTATTAGCTATTTATATTAATTTGAACTTAATCTAAATAATATTAATAATAATAATAATTATTATTATTATTAAATTATTGTCATTATTATTGCTACCTTAATATTCAATAAAAAAATTTATTTTGTTGATTCATTAACTATAATAGTATACTTAAATAAATTAAAAAAAACTATTACTAATAGTAATAAATTGTTATCAACAACACAACAACAAATAAAAACCATAACTTTATCTCAATATATATATATTGTATATAATATTAATTATCTAATGTTTTATTGTTAATAAAATAAAAATTATACTAGCACATATTATATATTTATATTGATATACTAGCACAAATGTCAACCAATGTTAAAGTCAACTAGTGGTGTAAATTATAGATTAGATAAAATCCAATAATAATAATAATTAATTTATTAATTTATTGGTTAACTAAAGTATGGATAAAAATCAATCAATTTTTTTAAACTAAAAATTATTAAATACTATAATTATAATAATTTTTTAAATATTATATATTTACTTTAAATAAATATATAATTGTAAATTTCTATTTACAATTAATAGCATTATATGTTTATATATTAATTTAAATGACAAATATTTATAATTATTAAATTTTTATGCATAATATATTTTTTTATTTTTATTTTTGCTAATCATATTATATTTGCAAATTATTTATTTGAATTTTTTAATGAAATAACAAATTTAAAAAAAATATTTAGCAATGTATAATTTAAGAAATAATAATAATATAAATTTTTTTAAAAATTATAATATAAATTATTAAATATAGAAAATACCTTTAATGTTGAATCAGAAATATTATTCAAAAAAAATAAATTACATATTCTTATAATTAGTTTATTAAAACATAATTTTAAATAACTTTTTTTTAAATATATATATATATAATATTAACTTTAACTTTATATATATTGCACAATATTATGATTTATTAATTTTGAATTAACTAATCAAGTTAGTTTTTAGACTATAGTCAATAATTATTAATAAATATTATTTTTTTGTTTGATTAAATTAATGTAAAATAATATATAATATTATTATTATTTTTTATATAACATTATATATATATATATATATATATATTAAAACTACGATACACTTTGAAAACACTTTGAAAATATTGACTAACATGTGGTGTATGTTATCTACAAAAAAAATAATAACTCATTTATTATAACAGTATTTTTTAAAAAATATAATAATAATATTATTTTGTTGGCAATGATATATCAAATGGTGTAAAAATTAATAATAATATAATAAAAAGATATATAAGTCATTGAAACAGTCATTGAGCACTCATTTATAAGAAATACTTTAAGTATTATTTTAATGATAATAAAAAATTATAAATAAATTATTAAAATACGGTATAGTCAGACACATAGTGTATATCATAAAATATATGTCATATACAGTATATGTCTTATTATTATTAGTGTGTGTTTGTGTGTGTATGTGTGTGTGTGTATATGTGTGTGTGTATGTGTGTGTGTATGCATGTGTATATGCATGTGTGTGTATGTGTGTGTATATCTGTGTGTGTGTGTGTGTGTGTGTGTGTGTGTGTGTGTGTGTGTGTGTGTGTGTGTGTGTGTGTGTGTGTGTGTGTGTGTGTGTGTGTGTGTGTGTGTGTGTGTGTGTGTGTGTGTGTGTGTGTGTGTGTGTGTGTGTGTGTGTGTGTGTGTGTGTGTGTGTGTGTGTGTGTGTGTGTGTGTGTGTGTGTGTGTGTGTGTGTGTGTGTGTGTGTGTGTGTGTGTGTGTGTGTGTGTGTGTGTGTGTGTGTGTGTGTGTGTGTGTGTGTGTGAGGTTACCACCTTAACTAGTAATATAATAATAATAAAAATGATTAACAATTTTTTTAAATAACGTCACAAAACAGGTATTTTCCTAAAATTATTGTATATTTTAATTGACTTTTAAAATTCAATTGAATAGCATTTTAATTTAATTTATTTAAAAAAAATAATAATAAAACACATACATTACCGGTAGGTGTATTTGTAAGAGTGGGATATAAATGTCTACTTTTATATAATTAAAAAAATTAAATAAAATACTAATTGTGTGTTTTATTTATTTATTTGTTTGCTTTTTATTTTGTCAAATAAGTGTGAGATAACAATATTTTTCAATTTAATTATTATTTTATCGTTTAATTGATATTAAATACGAGTATTAAAAAAATGTAGTATTAAATTGTAATTATAATTGAAATTACTATTGAAAAAAATGTTTTAATTTTATTAATTAAATAAATGAGTTGCAAATTTTAAAATAATTTTAATTTTAATTTAATATATAATATCCTACAATTAAATAATATTTTAATTTAATTATGTCTAATATTTGATACTAAATAATATTATATATAATATTATCATATTTAAAAAAAATAAATATCTAGTGTCTAACCCATGTATTTTGAATGTATATCAAAAAAATAAAGAAAATAAATTAATATAAATAAAAAGTTTAGATAACAAACAATATATATATATTAATATATATATTTTTTAAATTAATAAATTTATGTTTTATATTTAAATAGATAGAAACATTGAAAATTGTGTAATCATTTTAATATATAATCAAAATAAAAAAAATATATCACTTTATATTTAAAGTGTGTTTTATTTTATATAAATTGATTGAATTATTAATTTGAGTGTCTTTTTATTTTTTGGTACTGATTTTTTTTGTTTGTTTAATCAGTACAGTGATAGCCTATCTTGCCATTTGTATCCCTGACAGCACCGGCCTCCCTGAGCAACTGTGAACCATATTTAATTAATTCCTGATCGGTTGTCTGGTTTCTACTATAAACAGACCAGTTATCTATATTAGAGATTAGAGAGAGAGAGAGAGAGAGAGAGAGAGAGAGAGAGATATGAAATTATTTTTTTTTTAAATATGGCATAAAATTATTTTAAAAAAACATGATATAAGTTATGTTAATTATTTTTTTTGATTACTATATATTAATATATTACCTGATCGTACAGCTCCATGGGTAACCTGATAGACAACCAGTACTGGATCTACCTGGGTAATGAACCATGGTCGTTCGACAGCATAGCCCTCGGGCACCCAGATAACCTTGCTCAGTTTGCCTTTTAGATATTGATTTTGCTCCATATAGTCGATAGGACCGCTATTATTGCCACGACTATATCGATATTCATAATTAAATAATTAATTAATTAGTTAGTTAGTTATATTGTGTATTAGCAGTATTACAAATGTTATATAAATATAGAAATTTTTAAACAAATAATAATTATAATAATTAGATACCTTTCCGTTACGTTGACATAACCAGTGCCGACAGTAATGTCCAGCTGAGGACATGACTCGTTAGCCGATTTAGGATTTCTATGGTAGACACCGTACCAGTGGCCGTCCAACTAGTAAATCAATATAAATTATATATATATATATATATAGAGAGAGAGAGAGAGTATATGAATGATAATAATGGGTTGTATAGTTTTTTTTAAATGATTAGTTCAATAGTTTTAAATTGACCTTTTTTAATTATTTTATTTTAATTAATTTTTTTAATAACATACCAATTTCAGATCCAATTCCCGTAAAGTTTTCGATACAGCCATATGGTAGGGATAGATGGCCTGTTGGCTCTGGTCGGCCATAAAATATACCATAAATATTACCGATAATAGTAATGATTTCATTGTCTAGTTTTTTTTTGTTGTTGTTGTTATGAATAAACACTTAGCTATATAACAAACAAACAAAATTATTAATTTTTTAAATAAAAATAATAATAATAAATAATACACACAAATAATAATTAATTAATATAATAATAATAATAATATTTTGTATACTTGTTTGATATATTGTTGATTGAATTTTTTCTCTCTAATCAATATATTTAATTAACGATATTATTAGCAAACGTTTTAATAGATGGCAAAAAATATATAATTAAATTACTTATAAATTAAAACATATATATAATGTTATATAATATAATATAATACGTTGAGAGAGATGTTTGAAATAAATTTTTTTAAAACTTGTATTATATGAATACTACTACAACTACAGGGAGACTAAAATAAATTCATAGAGTTATATAGGTATAGTTGAAACGATTTTTTTTAGTTTATCACTAATTTTTTTTTGTATTTAGTTATAAATTAAACAAATAGTTACTATTTATTTAAAAATATATAACTAATTTTTTATATACACTTTGTATGCGTGTATATATGTGTGTATAGTCAGCGATTGCACAGTTTATATGACACTAAATTTATTTGTGAATCATATTATTATAGTAATACTAATTTTGATATGATTTAGTAAATAAAATTTAGTTATTTATATTGATTATTAGTATTAGTATTCAAAAAAAATAAAATTTTAAAAACCAGTTATTCAAGAATCAGTCATCAATTTATTGCTTTAAAATTTAATTGATTTTTGTTTTGATAATCCTTTTAAACAACAAATTTAAAAACAAAATATTTTTTTAAAGAATATTTCTGAAGATTATTGAAATAAATCATTTGTTTTTAAAATAATAATAAAACAAATATTTTATTAATAATTTTATAAAGATTTTTATAGATATACTTTTCAATGTCAAACAAAAAACATAAACTCTGAAAAAATACTTGAATTACATGTTAAACAAGTGTTTTATTTCATTAACTTATTTGTTATTATTATTATTGTATAATAATATTATAAATAAAAAAAATAAAATTTAATATTAATTTTAAGAGTTGTCATAAAATAATAAATTATTTATTTAAAATAATATATTGATTATATAAATGAGTTAAAATATATTTATTTTAAACACAAATAAATTACTATTATATATTGTAAATAAAACAAAATTATTATTTTTTAAAAATCATTATAAATATTAATTTTTAGTCTAATTTTAGTCATTTAGAGGAAAATACTTCAGGAAATTATTTATTATAAACAGTCATAATATTAATATTTTTAGGCAAAAAATTTGTTTTTACATATATTTATGTATTTTTATTTTTATTTTTTTTAAATAGTTGTTGTCTCAAATAAAATTGTTTTACAAATTACAATATTTTTTTTTTAAATTTTACAGTACATAGTGCACCCAGGATGTTTTGATAATAATTATTGAGAAAATAAAAAATAATTATAATAAAAAAAAATGGCAAACATATATCAATATAATTTATATAATATAAATATATAGGTATATAAATATTAAATTATATATTTGTACAAATTTGCACTTATATTATATTATAATAATAATATTTTTACATTTATAAAAATTATGTTTAACTAGATGATAATAATAATAATAATAATAATAATAATAACCAAATATTTATTTTGAAAAATTAAAACAAAATTTAAATCTATCAGTAATTGGGAATGTTATGTTGTTTTTTCATAATGGTTATTATATAAATTATTATTAATAATATTAAATAATTATAATAATTAATTTATAATAAATTTTTTATATAACTATTATCAAATTACACTACAATAATTTAATTAAATAAAAAAATAATTAACTAATTAATTACGATATACAGAGGTATATATATATATATATACTTAAAGTTCACACATTTATCATTAAGTTTTTTTTCAGTACAAACTATTAAATTTTTTTTAAATATATAAATTATACATTAATATTATAATTTGTATATTTATACCTTAAATAAGGTTTTTTAAGTTTTCACTTTCAATTTATAAATTATATTAATATATAGATATATATCACAATTAAATATTTGTGTTATTATTATTATTAGTAGTAGTTTTACTGATGATTTATTTGAAATAATATCTCATTTGAGCCGTCAATTGAAGCGCCAGCTTTAGCTAACAGTCCTCTAGCATTGGCTAACTGTTCATCCGTTAGTTGTTTTGTACGGCTATAGACTGTCCAGACATCTGATTGAAATTAAATTAATAATAATATATTATTTTTAAAAAAATTAATTTTAATTTAATGGCACATACCTACTGACGATTCAGTGGCATTGGGATCGTCGGTTAGCAGTAGGCACTGGTAGACCACTAGATATTGATCGTAATCAGTGTGCAATACCCACCAGGGATAGCCCAGTTGATAGTCGCCCCTGTCGATTACCCGATCCAATTTACCCTGTAGGGTATCATAGTTTTGTACCAGGTCATAGGAATGATCTAACTGTCCATTGACACTAAAACAGTGATAATAAAAATAAATAAATAATAATTATTTAAATTATATTTTTATATCAAATTGATTATAAATAAGTATAACTATCAATTTAGTTGTATATATTTAGTACATATTTACTATAAATATTTATATGATATATAAATTTAGTTATATCTAAATGTTAGTTTTAATTACATTTAAAAAAAATTATTGATTATGTTAATTATTTACAATTAATGTATAATAATAATATACATACATATACGTTATCTAATTGTATATAAATTTAATCAATATATGTATACTTAATATGCTATATTCACATAAAAACAATTTTGTTTTATGATTATTAGTCTATTTTTATATCTATGGAAAACGTTATATAAATACATGTTATATTTAAACACATTATTTGATATTATCAATAGATAAATAAAAATTAAATTTCAGAAACAAAAGTAGATTATTATAATAATTATTATTATTTCTATTATAATATTTGATAAATATTTTTGTGTATTGTTAAGCAAACAATGACACACACAAAAAAATGTTTTATATAAATTAGTCATCAATTAATCAAAAAAAAAAAAAAAAAATTAAATAATCTAATTATATATCAATATATATACATAAAATACTACAGTATATATACAAATGTTTGTATCAACAAAATAAAAACACATACATGTGCTTAAACTCCAGTGTCTTGTCGTTAGTCTTATTCAATTCCATAGCTATTGAATCGTTGGTTTGCTGTTTGCCAAACACGGCATACCATAGGCCGGTCAACTAAAATTTGTGTACATATATATGTAAATATTAATTAATATATTTTTTCATTAAAAAAACTACTGTATAATTTAAATGATAAATCAAAAAACAATGTTATTATGAGATGATATGATAAAAATATAAAAACAAAATTTATAATAATAATATTAATAATAATTAAAATTAAAAATCAATACTTACTTTATTAATGTCCAACGCTTTGATAGTATTTTGTTTGACTTTTTCCCATTGATATATCATTTTATTTATTTTTTTAAAAATATACACTATATATATATATATATCAATAAATACAGTATATATTTATAATAATAACAATAATAAGTTATTATTAATTTTTAATATACAATATAAGTTATATACTAATAATAATATACTCTCAAAAATATATATTTATATATATATATATATGATATTATTGGTTATAAATTTAAACAACACATACTGTACTACAGATTTTATACAGTATATAGAAAATCAATTTTTATATTAATAATAATAATAAAATTTGGCAATTAGTTGCTAAATATTTATTTTTTGATTAAAAAATAATTTATTTATTTTTTAATTACAAATTTGTAAATATAATAAATATTGAATATATATATTTTAAAAAAATTATATATTGATAATAATAATATTTATTTATCAAATACAGTGTTTTATATCAAAATAAATATTATATTTTCAAAAAAATATATATTTGTACAGCGGACACAACTGCAAGTTGTTGGTCCCAGCAGACATATAAAATGGAAATGATTTAAATAATTAAGCGTTTTGGTGCCCCCGTCGAGACTACAACTATTGAAAATGTTGTTTATTATTATTATTATTTTTACAACAGTATTACTAATACTATTATCACACACTCACTCACTCACTTACTCTCTCTCTCTCTCTCTCTCTCTCTTCTCTCTCTTACACACACACACACTCACCCACCTCTCCCTCTAGGTGTGTGTATGTATGTGCACTCACTTACTCACTCACTCTCTCTCTCTCTCTCTCTCTCTCTCTCACACACACACACACACACACACACTCACCCACCTCTCCCTCTATGTGTGTGCATGTATGTGCACTCACTTACTCACTCTCTCTCTCTCTCTCTCTCTATATATATATATATATATATATATATATATGTGTGTGTGTGTGTGTGTTGTCTAAACAGTGTGTACAGGCGCAGCTCAGGTAGTTTTTCGTGCATGTGCTTGAAATTTATTCTATGATTCATACATACATATTATATGTACACCCAATAACCCAATGACAAAATATTTAGATATACTGTTTGTGTGCTAAAATTTTAAGCGCGATTTTTGTAATTATTTTCAACAACAAAAATAAATGGTTATATTTTTAAAAAAATTTTTTTTAAATAAATAATAGTTTTTTTAATTCAATTATTATATTTTCAATATAGTATGTCTCTAAAATTTTGATACTATTAAAATAGATACTAGATGGTTTTTATTTTGATATTAAAGTATTATTATTATCAAAATTATTTATATTTTTTAATATTTATATAACAAATATTTACGCATATATATATATATATATATATATATAGTTTTTTATACAGTAAATATATATTATTATTTTATTAGCATAATAACTAATATTGACATTTATTAATTAATTTCCAAAAAAAATATATATATATTCATATAATTGTATATGAAAAATAAACATTATATCATAAACAAATATCAATAACATATTATAATATTATTTTATTAGATATTTATTCAAATTTACTAATTATAGATTTAACATAACAACTGTAGATATTTTTTTTAACAAACATTTAAATTAAATAAATATAATTAATTAATTAATATAATTATAATCTATAAACAAATATAAACAAATATATTATATTACAAAATACTAATATTATTTTTTTTATTGAAAAAGTTATTAAAATAAATATTTAAATAATTAAAATTTTAATTAAATAAAAACTAACTAATAATAAACAAAACTGCTATATTAGTAATGTTTATATTTTTATTAATATACATGTAAATGTATGCTAAATAATATATATATATATATATATATATATATATATATAAATTTTATATTTTTAAGTACAATTTACAATAAATTAGTGTAACAATAACATGTAAGATAAATTGTATTATATTATTGTAAATTATATTAAATTATAAATAAATATAAAAAAAGTAAATCATTTTTTTTATTACAACTATATATATAATAGTATTGGCTGTTAATTAGTTTTATTATTTATTAGTAATATTTCAATAACTATTATTAACTATATAATATACAGTCTAATTGTATTAATATTATTGTACTGATAAATTAGCAAGTTCAAATAAGTTATAATGTAATTTTTAAAAATAAATATTTATTTAATATACTGTATATAAAACTAATTACTTTAAAATATTTAGCAAGACTTAAATTTATAAATAAAAAATTCAATTATTATTTGTTAATATTACAAATTATTACTATTTTTTATATAATAAGTTTTAAGTTAATAAATCTATTAAAAAAAATTTATTGAAATTATTGTAAAATTTACTAATATTTTTAAATTTTACTATTGTAATTTAGTATTATATAAAATATATACAGTAATTATAATATTAATAGTATTAAAAATCTAGTATTACATTATTATTATTATTAATATTACATTATTGGTTTAAATATATTTATTACAATTGAGTTGCACTATTAAAAAACATAAAATAATACTAAATACAAAAATAATAATAAAAAAATACGATATATGTTATACTAAATATGATTTTAATATATATATATATATATATACAGTATATATACAGTATATTAACATTTCATAATCTATAAAAATTATCGTAATTTATTTCAAACATAACATTGAAATCAATTTAAGTTTAAATATACTATAAATTTATATATATATATATATAGTATATAATTAATTCAATAAAAATTTATTATTAATATAAATATATTGAATATTTATGTTTTCTTTAAACTCATTTATATTATATTGAATTAAATTTTATAAATATTTATTTGTTTGAAATTTTTTTTTAAAAAACAATTTAACAAAAACAATAAATTATGAGAAAATTCTAATTTATATATTTTTTTGATTATTTTAAATTTTTTTAATATTAAATTTTTTTTCGACATCAACAAAAAAAACTGATCACTTATGGCGGTAAAGTTGGTACAAATTTTTTATCAAATTTGATGCCCAACTCGTGCCGCCTATCGGTAAACATACGGCGAAACAGTTGACTTTCGGGACGCTTAAGCGACTGAGGTTTCTGGCGAAACAGTCCGGCGCCGATAATTTCCGTACGATTTATTGTCCAATTAGATGACCGCTCCGCCAACTGTCGGGCCGACGGTCTTTCGGCGTACACTTGGGCGTACATTTGTTTGATGGCCAAAAATAGGTGTCCGATTCGAGCCTCGAACACTGTTATGGTGTTGGCGTTCAACGAGTACTGTTGGGAACTGTATATATATTATAAGATACATAAGCCAAATGAATCTAATAAATTAATAATAATAATAATAATAATGTATTATCACATACTCGCTTAGATACCAATTAAACAATACTTGGGTTAGAATACCCAAACTGTAAATATCTGCCATTTCATTATAAGATCTACCCCATGACACTTCCGGTGCCATATATAACGGTGTTCCCGTTCCCTGTGTATGACTAATCGATTGACGTTCATGATAGGTGGACAGTCCGAAATCGCTTATTTTTAGATAGCCACTCATACATGTTGTTGTGCCGGCGGTACTATTAGCTGCTGCTGCTGGACTGTTAGCCGACGCCACCAATATGTTGGCCGGTTTAAGATCCCGGTGTATTACCGGCGGCTGATGACTATGTAAATAATCTAGACCAGCGATCAGCTCCTGTAGTAGTTGACAAGTGAGTACATATTCAATAGGATCCAGTCGGTCGCCCTGTGCCCGACCAAACGCCCGGTGCTTGTTTTCTAGTACACTATCCAGATCCTGATCGTATAAATCCATTTGAATAAATAGTTGACTATCCAATTGCCATGCATTATGAAATTTAACAACATGGTCACTTTGTAGACTAATTAGTATATCTAATTCCATATTTGATTCGGAACAATTATCTATTATTTTTTTTAATTATCAATTTTTAATTAAATTGTAATAGTAATTAATTATCTTATATTTAATTAAAAAAAGTATATATATATACCGGTATCAATTTTCAATGATTTAAGCGCATACGATTGTCCCTGATCAATTTGTTTAATATGATAGATTTTGCCATATTGGCCTTTACCTTGGCCAATTTCGCTAATAATTTCAAATTGATCAGCTAACATTTTTGGCAATACATTATCATCAGCATTATCAGCATCTATACTACTACTACTAGCATTGCCATTTTTCATATTAGTAGATGATGATGATGATGGTAGTAGATCTAAATTATCTAGATTAAATTGATTGACTAGATGATTGGTTGAACGATAAGTTTCTAGATAATAGTCATCAAATTGATTATGATCGGTATGAATTTTAACTAGCTCATTTTCTAGTCCATTCAATCTAAATAGACATGATTGTTGTTGTTTATTATTATTTTCATTGTTGTCAACATCGATACCCATAACTACAACAATATCATCATCATTATCACCATGATCATTTTTGTTATAACTAAATTTTAGCAATTCAATTTTCATAAATTTTACATTATTATTATTATTATAATCTAATTTAACTAGATCATTTTCATCAGTTAGTTTCCAATTATTTGTATATAATTTTTCAATTGTTGAACACACATATAGATCATGTTGTTTGGTTAGGAAATAAATTTTAAACAATTGATTATTAAAACTAGTAATTAGCACCCGGTCCAATTCAATTGATGGTGTTATTGTGCCGCCGAAAACAATTTCCCTGGGATATTCCTCGTAGGTATTGGTTTTCATATGGGTGCTGGTCAATGATGTCTGTCCCCATATGTACAGACGGCCGGATTTGGTCAGTGCCATGGATGTATTACCGGCACAGTGGACGTAGTGTACATTTTTCAATGCCATCAGCTGAGTCGGTTTGTATGAGTGTGTATTTTTGGCACTTTTCATACCCAGTTGTTTGCCGCAACCAACCTGTCCCCAGTGATTGTCACCCCAGCCGTACAGTTGGCCGTCGGCAGTCAGCGCCAGTGTATGATGCGATCCACTGGTCAGCTGAATGATTTGCCGATTATTGGGCATATAGATTGATTCGTACAGATAGTTATTGCCCGGTCCAAATGCACCGGTATCGATATCGCCCCGGCCCAATTGGCCGTGTCGATTCTGGCCGCACGTATACAGTTTTGATTGCCGGTCGATGGCCACAATGAAATCGTCACCGTGAACCAGTTCCTGGATACCCTGGTAGGATAGCTGTTTGATTAGATGTGGTTCAAGTACCGGTGCTCGATGACCTAAACCAAGCGAACCGTCCGAATTGGTACCAAAACCGTAGCACTGGTCGCCTAATGTAATGAACATTGCGTTGACACCGCCGCCGCCGCCGGCCATCGGGAACACGCAAAACGATTTGACCATTAGATTATAGTTTTGTTTAAATTTATCGATAACCTGCTGTCTATTCATTGCTAAACTATTATTATTATTATTATTATTATTATTATTATTATTATTATTATTATTATTATTATTATTATTATTATTATTATTATTATTATTATTATTATTATTATTATTATTATTATTATTATTATTATTATTATTATTATTATTATTATTATTATTATTATTAGTTACACTATTAGTATATTTTGTGATGTCATCCTCAACAGCATCATCCCTGGTGTGCTTATCATAGATAAAATAGTCGACAAATTGTTTGCATTTGAAATCAATCAAATTAAATGTCAAATTATATTTGTTTAGATAGTAGTCCTCATAGTTTGAATAGTCATTTCCTAGACTGACCACTTCATCGGCGGCCCGTAACTCGCACAGACCAACTGATTCGGCTATGGCCAGCACCGGTATGTTTGGATAGCAACTATCCAGTAAGCAAAGGGATATGTATTTCGATTTACTAGTCAAACGTGGTGTCGGCTGCTGTTCGCCGCAATAGTAGATCAGACCGTCCGAGTTGAGAAAATATGTATTGATATTATTGCTGACGACGGCCACAATGTTGACCAGATTGATCATAACCGGCACCGGTATCTGAATCTGATCCGTATGTTCAGTGCCCAACACTTTCTTCCAGTTCATACCCCACGAGTAGACCCGACCGTCTCCAGTGATGGCAAACGAGCTATTATGGCAACAGTGTATGAAACTTATGGCCGCCGCCCCCGCATAGGTATCGAAATTGATTTTTGTCGGCACCAGTACCCAATCGGCGTCCATATTCAAGGCTAACTGGCCATTGACATTGTGTCCCCACGAATAGACCTGTCCGTCGCCGGTCAATGCCATTGAATGTGCGGCACCGCAGGCCAGTTGTACAATATTGCCGAGTTGTTCAACTTTCTCCGGTTTCTGTAGCTCCGGGTAGGCGTGACGTTGGCCGCGACCTAACTGTCCGAAATTGTTGACGCCCCAGGCGTAGACCGTACGCGATCGGGTCAATCCCAGTACATAGTGATAGCCGTTGAAAAATCTGATAATACCTGTACCCGATAGCTCCGGTATGGTACGCGGGTTTTCATACTGGCTATTCAGCCGACCTTTGACTATTGATCCGGGTACACCTACTCGATGTTGCCATACATTATCCTGGCTGTCTATTAGCAACAATTGTTGCTTGTTGAATTCGGTAAATAAATGTCCACGCTCAAAATTGCCCTGGATAAATTTCTGGTTCAATAGTTTTACAGTCATTTTGTCAACAAAAAAAATATATATATATTTAATTTTTAATATAACTATTTTTTTTTATATATAATTGATTTATTATTATTATTATCAACAAAATATTGAAATAAAATATATTTTTTTTATTAAAAATTAATTTGATATAAAACTTTTGAATGCTGTATATATATAACAATTAGTTCACATATTAAATATAATGTATAAGTATTAATATATTATTTTAAAACAAATAAATTTTGTTTTAAAAAAATTACAACATTAGATATTTTTAAGAAAAATATATTTCAACTAATTTAATGTTTACATATATTAGTATTTAACATTTGATTTTTTTTTTATAAAAATAAACATATTTAAGTAAATATACACTGTATATTATACAGTTGTAATAAACTTGTTTATATAATATCAATAAAACTTTATGATATTACACTGTATACAATATATTACAATATATATATACAGTTTTAAACGTAATTTTTGCAGCAATTATTGAAATATATAAATATATATAAATTATAACCTTGATAATTTTTGCTAAACTAAAAATTAGTAATTTATAAAATTATTATAACCTATTTGTAGTGTAATTATTATTACATTAATTTTATTGGGGTTTAAAATAAAAATTTATATTTAATTTTAAAAACATTTTAATAATTCATTCACAATAATTATTTTTAAAAATAATTTTTTATTTTATTAAATTTATAAATAAATACAAGAAATTTGTTTTCAACATTAATAACTAAATAATAATAAGTTATAATAATTTCTTATTATATATTTTAATTAAATTAATTAAATATAACAGTAAATAATCTCATATATAACTAATAGATGACTAATATTAGAAAAAATGTATATTAAATATATTAAAAATTTATAATAAAATTGAACTTAAAATGAACTAGATATATTATTATAAATAATGTAACTTGAATATATCATATATATATATATCATTAATATAAATTATATTGTTTTGTTTTATGCATAATAATAATAATAATAATAATAAATAGATTTAAATATTTAAATAATATATAATATGGATAGTAATTACAGTATATAATAATCATATTTTATATAATAATTAATATATACTGTATATAATAATATTGATAAATAATATAATATTTTTTTTAATAATATAGTTTATCTCCCATTAATTCAATCAAATTGTATGAGATATCGCAAACATATTTGTTTGCTATTGAACACAATATATTCGTTATAATAGGTGCCATGGGTTTCACCAGTGGGTAGTTTATTATAAGCTAACTTTCCCAACGGTACGGTACGACCTAAAACACATACAGTATATATAGAATATGTAAAGCAAAAAAAATTATTCAATAATAACATACCGTTCCAATAGGACAGTCCATTAGGATCGGGTATATACTGAGAGTTTTTAGTAACTAAGCTATGATGACCGTCCTTCAATGATGTACTTTCATCGCCGTACGGCTTTATCTGTTGTTGTCGGCCAACTAATACCTCGCTCAGTAGCATAAACTTGTGGCCAGTAGTCGTATCCGAGGAACAGTAGTTTTCACTTTTGGCAAAAGCATCGGAAAAGTAGACACCCTATTGAATGAATAACAAAAAATTAAAAACAAACTAATTATAAAAAAAACAAAACAAAAATTACATACCTTTCCAAACATATGACCAGTTATTTGGGCGCCTAACGGTGCCACCTGTAGCCCGTGGGCCAGTATGCTGAGCACGTTGGCCATTTTTGTGCCGTGCCACAGTAGCCAAGCCTGCTGAACATCCATACCTTTATCGGTCTCCCGAAGCGCCTGATCTTCGCCTGTTCTCTGCACCCGAAATATATGCCTAACTCGTGGATTACAATTAGTGCCGGCCGTCCGGTCAATGTATTGCAAAATCATTTGACACTCTTGGCTATCCTTGTCCATCGGCGCCAGCAGACAGCCCAACGATCGATAGATATAGTCAGCCGGATTGATCTCCCGGTGCCGATACTGGGCGGCCAACAGCAGTTCGTAGGCGTACTCGTAGTGTATGAGATTGTTGACCAGAATCTGTTGGTCGCGTAGTCGGTCTCTATTGAACAACGGTTCCAATCGTTCGTATTCGTAGCCAAACAATGGTATCAATTGGTAGAATAGTTCGCTCCGGTCGATGATATCCAGTGTCAGACGCGAGTAGTCGTCCGATTGGCGATCGGTAATCGAGTCGCGTTCCGCTAGTAAACTGTCCACTTTGGCCAACAATTGTTCGGCTTCGCTCAGTGCCCGATCGCTAAGATGGCCAAACGGTGTGCACGACTGTCCTAACGATCGATAGGAGTCGCGACTCGAATGAAATTTAATCAATTGTTTCATCAGTTTGTACAGTGGCTGCGGTAGTCCAGTGCTAACTGTCCGACTGGCGGCAACCGTTGCTGTGGTATCCGCGGCCTTCAATGTTATCCACTTTTTCGGCTTCTGAATGACCTGGCGAACAGTGTCCAACTTATACGACTTACTGCGCTGATGGTCACCAGTGCCTAACCGGCGCTGTACTAACCGATATTTTTTGGGTACGGGCTTAAACTCCCGGATGTCGTCCCATTGGTTACCCGATTTCGATTTGAGTATCTTTTTGAATTCGTCGACCGCTGCGGCAACAGTGGGCATGGCTGTCTTCTGGTATTGGCCAGTTTCGCCGATACGGCCCCAACGGGTGAACAGTATGACCAGCTGTTTGGGCCGGTGCTCGACGACTTGCATTTTGTAGAAATTATACAAACCGTAGACACCGTAGCTAAGGTCTACCTGAGTTAATAGTACGTCAAACGGTAGGCCTGATTGCTGGTCGACCACTGTTTCGCTGTTTGTTTAGTAAAAATTTAAATTATCAATAAAATTATTAACAAACAGTTGGCTATAGGGAGGAACTGTATATATACTTACGCGCCATCGATGCCTATCAGACTGTCCGGCTGTGATACCGGTGCTCCACTAGTAGTCGTATCCATTGATTCGGCGTCTAATTGTTCGATCATTTTTTCCGAATCCAATTTATAATCATAGGACTGTTGTTGTTGTTGTTCACGGGCACCGGTAGTTTCGTAATCATCATAATCATCTGGCAGTGGCGGATAGGCCAGCATATCATCATCATCGTCATCGTCACCGTCACAATGGTTAGGCCGTGTATGTAGGACACTGTCGAAAACAGTCAACAAACTTACGGCTTTTCGCTGTCTGGCCAACTGGTACGGTGATTGGCCATCCGTATTGCCAGTGGTCAACAATTGTTTAATATTCGATGACCAGCTAACCTCCAGAAACATATCGAAAATCTTGTCCGCTTCGACATAGGTATAGTCGGCCAGCGGACAGACTAAATGATGCATAACTGTCCAGCCGTTATTGTCTTTCAGACTGAGACCGTCGCGCGACTGTACCGACAAAAGTTTGACCATTTTCCGGTCGTTCAGCCGTACGGCGTGCATCAGTGCCGTCCTACCGGTGCTGTCTGTACCGTTCCTGTCGACCAAATCATTGTTTTTAGTCCACGACAACACCGACAACGACTCATCATCGGTTGCGGTCAGATTTAGCAGATACTCGACCACCGAATAGTTACCGCAAATGACCGCATAGATTAACGGCGTATATTTGGTAGCCGTAGCGACCGCTTCGACAGTTGGTTCGTATGATGTATACCTGACTCCTGGATAACGGCCCTCATATATAGGATAATAATTTTGTGCGTTAATTAATTCGGGTTTTTCGGCTACCAGTTTGGCCAACAATTTCTGCATATCTTTAGATAGTTTGCTTGTTTTGTCGTCAAGATGTAAGTCCCAAAACATGGCCGACACGGGTGTCCTCATCAATAGATCGGGTGTCATATTGGCCACTTCGGTTAGTCCAATTTGATTGCACAGTTCCTCGAACAGCACATGATTTCGAGTGGTGGCCGCGTAGACGATAGCATTGGCCTCATACTGATGGTCCAGTGCTCGGACCGGTACTCCGTGTTCGATCAGCGACCGGACAATCTCTTTTTGGTGGTCACTGTCCCGCGATCTGGCCGACGCTGGCAGCTCACGGGTCAATACGTGCAACAGTGTTCGGCCGCCGGCATCGCCAGTCAGCTCTAGCGAGTGATGGTCTTCGACGCGATTCAAGATTTTGATGGCCAACACCAGTCGGCCAGTCCTGAGTGCGGCTTCGATGGCTATACCGATGCCGTCGCCGGACAGTTCCAGGTCGTTGACTATCAGATGAAGTATACCTATTAATATAAAAAAAGGACAGTTAGATACTAATTACAATCCAATAGGTGTATGTGTGTGACCATTACATACCCTGCCAATCTTTGCGTACCACTTCCTCGACAATTGAGCACTGGGTTGTGGTCCGGTTGGCCAGTTTTTGGCGCTCGTAGTCCTCCTTATCGCGCACTAGATTCCACTTCCAGACTATTCGCTTCTTGTTTTGTTTTGGATACCTGTCCTCATTATCATCATCACTACCAACAGTAGTTGTGGTTGCCTTGTGTTTGGTGGTGGTGTAGACGACACCGACCGGCGGTATACAGGCGGCACCCTTTTGCTGGAGCATTAATGCACAGCCTTCGTGGCCATTGGCGACCGTATAGCCGAACGGTGTATTGCCGTCGGCGTCTACGGGATCAATGTTCGCCATACGACTCAACAAATGCATACACGATATGGTGGCGCCTCTCTGACCAGCGTAATGATACGGCTTTCGGCCCCTGTTGTCCTCAATCTCGGCTGTCGAACCACTAACTGAATCTTGTAGGCCGCTCGACGGCGACGACTCGTTGGTCAACAATAGAGTGACCAATTCAATTGGATCGGCAAACGAGTCGCTTGATTGGCCGGGTTTGAGAAAGGCGTAGTGCAACGGTACACAACCCCACTTGTCCTGTATGTCCCGTTTCGAGCCGGCCTTCAACAGACACTGTTCCACGTGATACCATTCGTCTACCGTTCCCGATCGCGACTTGACCGCCAAATGCAACGGTGTTTGACGTCTATGGTTAAGGGCGTTAACATCGGCGCCGGCAACCATGAGCTGTTCGACAGCGTTCAGCGCATCCTTACGATGTGGCTGTGCGGCCACCATATGCAGTACCGTATTGCCAGTCTTACGGCATTTGTCGGCAACATCGGCACCGTTGGCCACCATATGTAGCAGCAGATCAAACGATTCGCCGCGATTGTGAATGGCCTCCAATATTAGCATCGAATTGTTGTTGTCGTTTCGGGACCTAACGGTAATATCGGCACCGGCCTTAATCAATGTCCACGATTTCGACGTCCAATTGTTGACAATAGACAAGGCCAACGGTGTCCGACCGTAACCATCGAGCGGATCTAAGTCGGGTTTTTTGGCCAATATTTCGTCTAAATAGTTGGGCGCTTTGCACTCGACAGCCATATGCAGTACCGACTGTCCTCTGTCCTCGGGTTTCGCACACACGGTCTGGGCGTTGACATCGCTCTGGACGGTGTCCAATAGAAACCGTAGAAAATCTATAACATGCGACTGTTGTTGTTGTTGTTGGTCAAGCGGATCAATATATCGACACTTTACAAGATAACTGTGTAACGGTGTCCGGCCAGATATGTTGGTCACCGATGACTGACTGATAATTTGTTTGCGAACATCATCGGGAATGATGGACAGAAATTGATGATTTGTTAGTTGACTTGGTTTGAATAGCAAGTTTGCATAGCTGGCCATCGACTGGAGTCGGCCGTCGGCTATGATTTCCTTGTTGTCGGCCAAATCGGTCCACCGATGCAACATTGTATTGCCAGTTAGCTTATCTACCGAATCGGCGATCGCCTTCAACAACAATTCGTTGTTGTCATAATAGGACGAAACCAGTAGTTTGTGAAACATGCCGAACGTCGACAATCTGATGGCCATTTGCAATGGTGTTTCACCGCCACCGTCACCGCCGCCGTTGTTTTGTTTGCTGACCGCATAGGCATTGCAGCCATTGGCCATCAATAGATCGGCCGCTTCCAGCAGTTTGTTAACATTATCCAAACGTATCTATTGGTTACCCAAAAAAAAAATTACCGGTAATTAATAAGTTAGCAAAAAAAAAGTATGGGGAAAGTAGTAGTAGTACTACTAGTACTACTACTCTAATAGTGTGTAGGAGTCACCCACAAAATTACCTGTAGCTCATTAGCCCGTCTAACACTATCATAGTAGCTGGATATGCCATACTTAATAATACTGGACTCATTCATCACCAGATAATGTAGCTAGGTAAATATTAATAAAAAAAACAAAATGATTTCATGATTATTTTTTAATTATAATTATTAGATAAATAGATAGATAGATAGATAGATAGATAGATAGATAGATAAATAGATAGATAAATAAATAGATAAATAAATAGATAAATAGATAGATAAATAGATAGATAAATAGATAGATAAATAAATAGATAAATAAATAGATAGATAGATAGATAGATAGATAGATAAATAGATAGATAAATAGATAGATAAATAAATAGATAAATAAATAAATAGATAGATAGATAGATAGATAGATAGATAGATAGATAGATAGATAGATAGATAGATAGATAGATAGATAGAGAGGACAGTCCTAAAAAAACTTCTATATATATATATATATATACACATATATATGACATACCGCGTTACAGTTTTGATAGTCGTTAACGTTAAAATCGGCACCTTTATCCAGTAAAAATCGTAGGCCGTCCAACATTGACTGGCCGGGCGATTGTCGACACATTTCGTGCAACAATGTCCGACCGTCCGTATAATCTACTGGTGCATTGAGGTCGAGCGTTGTTGATTCGCTGGAAAACTTATCAACCAAACCGGTGTGGCCTTTCATAAAGGCTATAGACATGGGTGTCATCTTCCAGTCGTTGGTAATGTCGGCTTTGGCACCGGCTTCCAGCAGTAGTTGCATACAATGATACCAGCCATAGGCGCAGGCATAGTGTACGGGTGCGTTGCCCGACGAATCACGGGTTTCCGGATCGCAGCCCAGCCGAAGCAAATAGCTGGCCACTGCTGTCTGGCCGTTCATAACGGCGTGAGTTAGAGCCGTTCGCTTTTTCTTATCGCCGGCTTCGGGTTTGGCACCCCTGTCCACCAGAAAACGGACAAGCGGTAAATGGCCGCACTCTGCTGCCAACATTAGAGCTGTTAGCTTATCCTGTTTGGCCTGAGTTGGTCGCTCGATGTTGGCACCGCCGTCCAATAGCACCCGTACACAATCCAAGTGGCCGTGATGGGCGGCACATAGTAACGGTGTCATACCGTTGCGATTATATTTTTCCAGTGTTCCCGTCGGTGCTGCCGCTTTTGCTTTCGCCGCCGCTTTTGCTTTCGCCGCCGCCTTTTTTTTCGCCGCCGATGCAGTAGTGGTGGTCACCGTTTGTTGATCACTGGTGACACCGGTATCAGCATCAGCATCGGTACTACCGGTATGACTATTACCGATGTTGATTAGTGACAATCTTTCGTGTTGTATGATTGCCGCACAATTTTCTGGCCGATTGCGTTTGGCTGCCAAATGTAAGGGTGTGTTTCCCCGTTTTTTGTCGACCACATCGGTAGACACACCGCGCGATAGGAGAAGCTTAATATTGGCCGGTTCTACAAACAAACAAACAAACAATATTACAGTTAGTTAGTTCACACAAACAATCAATGGTAACACAATCAATGAACCTTCCGATACGGCTGCATAGTGGACAAGTTGCCAGTTGCCGGTATCGGCGATAGTATAATCTGGCCGATCCTGTAGCAGGTGTTCCAGATAATACGGATCGGGATTGACGGCCGCGCAATGTAACGGTGTAACACGGGCGTTGTCCAGTGCTTTCTTAGTTACCGATACCGACCTAAACTGATCGAATTGGGTGCCGTCCCGGGCCAGTGACTGGACGTGCAGCTGATTGAAACCGAATCCGTTCTTTTTCAGGCCCCGCTGGACAATCTGATTGGCCAGCAGACAGTGGCCGTAACGGAGAGCGTAGACAACTTTATTTTCGAGATATCCACTGTCGGTGTCGGCGACCAGTTTGTCCAGCATTTCGATGTCGGCGCCCGACTTAATCAGATTTTTCACTATCGTTCCCGATATTGATGTCTCGCCTCGAGAGCTGCTGTAGTCGCTGACATCGCGGAGCAGTGCATTGTTGCCTTCGCGACCGCCGCGGCCAACGTTTACAGCTCGCAATGCGTGTCCAAACATATAGCGCGAACCGTGACCGGTCGATTCGGTGGACAGCAAACATCGGGTCTGATCGGCAAATTTTGTCTTAAGCTTACTGTCGGTTAGTATCTGAATGGCTTGGATGTCCAGTCTCTGAATGGCGTATAAAAGGGCTGTCCGTTTGTCGGCTACCGATCGCCGTACAGCCGCCGAACAGATAAGTTTGTCACCAATGATCAACTCTTTCAGTAATTTATAGTCACGCTGAAGGACAGCCCTGATAAGCAATTTTGACTGGACATAGCTTGAAACATACGGTACCGGCTTATTGGTGTCGAAAAACGGATCAACTTTATGGTTAGTGACCGACAAATTCGGAATCAGCGCCTTTTGTCCTCGTTTTGTTGACCGCTTTGCCGCCGGTTTTACAGATGATTCGGATTTCGGTGATTTTTTTGACGGACTCGTCTGAACAGCTTTCGGCTGTTTTTTCTTAGACTTTGGTGTAGTTATCGTCGCACGACTATCGGCTACCGGCTTATCCTTTTTTAGTGTCTGTTTCTTCGATGATGTTGTCTTTATTATCGGCGCCGTTGTTGTCGTCTTTGTGACCACTTTTTTAGCTACGACTGCATGGGTTTTCTTCGGTGACAACAATCTATTGACTGCAACTATCCGACGACGTTTCACTTGCGGAGGTATGATATTAGTGGTGGTTGTCGTCAGCAACTTATCGCTGCTGATGCTGTTGGTCACTGTCTGACCACCATTTGATAGACGTTTTGATCGGCGTACTGGCGTAACGTTGACCACTGATTTATGCTGCTTTCGCGGTACGTTAATTGTCCGCCGTTTGGACAATGGTTTAGATAGTGCTGTGTCCGGTCGGTTGGCTTTATTGGACCCACCGATTGATTTTTGTACGGTATAGCCATTTGATATGACCGATGGTGTTGTTGTTGTTGTTGTTGACGGCAACCCGATTTCGGGCGATTCATGTCTCAGACGTTTCGATGTGCGTATCTGTTGGGAACCGTTAGCAATAACAGCTACCGGTGCTGCTGCTGTTGTGATGGTGGTCAGTAGTCGTTGTGGTAAATTGTGGCCAAGTTTGCGCTTTTTTGATTGGTTAATTTGATTGGTCAATATTGTTGATGCTATATATGATATATATAAATATATTAATAGTAATATATTTTTAAAAAAATAAATATAAAATTAAAAATAATTATTAAATTAATTAGTTTTAAAAATTACTATAATTATTGATAATTTAAATTATAATTATTAAAAATATTGTTTTTTTTGTTGCTGTTGACAATATTATTAATGTTATATTTTTTAATTATATAATAATAATAATTATTATTATTATTATAATTATAACTAAAATTTTATTTTTTCAATAATATGTAAAATAACTAATAATTTGTTGGAAAAGTCCTAAACATTATTATAATTATTATTATTACATCACATGAATATTCTGTAAATACAGTACACTAGTAGTAGTAGTAGTAGTACTAGTCATGGGAAGGGCATCTAAAAATTATTATTTATATCAACTATTCATTATCAACAACAAATACATACCGGTGCTCATAGTAGTGGTCGAATTGGTAGTGGTGCTGATAGTTGTCAAAACAGTATTTTTATTATTATTAGTATTAGTATTATTATTATTATTAAAATCTTTGACCACTGATATTGCCCGACGTCGGCTCCTGGTTACTCTAACCATACTGTCCTTATAGACTAGTTGTTTACTACTACTACTAGTGCTTAACTTAGCACGCATAGTAATACAAACAAAAAAAATCAATTTATACAGTAGATAATAATTAATTAATTAATTAATTTTTGTTGTCAATTATTTTTTTTAAAAAAATTAATATTTAAAATTTTCACTTTTATAATAATAATAATATTTATATACTGTACTATAAAAATTATTTATTGTTAAACATTGATAAATTAATTTTTTAATAATATTATTATCTTATTATCTTCATATTAAATAAAATATATTATATATATATATTTGAAACTAACTTCAATTTTTTAGTCAATTTATATCATTTATATGTATATACAGTATATTACAACTCATTAATGCAATAGTATGTCAAAAAAAATATAGTACAAAATGTTTTTATTGGATATATATATAAAGACAACTTGTATTATACAAGTATATTATTATTATTATTATTATTGATAATATATAAAATACTGTATATATATATAGATATTAAACTCTTGATATTTAAACACAATATATTAGCACAAAAAACAATATACTTTTATTATAGATTAGTATATATTATTATATAAAATATTTAATTTTTTTATTTTACTTTATTAAAAGCCGGCATTTAATAGCCCTAATAGAGTTTGCGTACATAATGTTTGACAACCACTGTATGGTATAATGTAATGATAAAATATAATAACAATAATAATATTAATAATAAATATTGCATATGTAATAATTTATTAACAAGGTCACCTAACACACACACACACATACATACATACACACACACACATACACACACACACACACACACACACACACACACACACATAAATACCTATTGCTACAAAAAAAGTTAAGTTTATCAAATTAATAATAAAAATTTTTTAGCAATAATAATTGTTTGTGATGAAACATTTTAGTCTAACTTTAGTAATATATATAAAAATAAAATAAAAATAAATTTTACTTTTTTAATGTTAATCTCATATGAAATAATTTTGTGTTACTTTAGGAAAATGTAATAAATATATTTTTAAGTATATTATATACCATTTTTATTATTATTATTATTATTATTGTGTGTATGTTATAAAATAAATAACATGCAATGCTTTATAATTAATTAGATTTGTTAAATAATAATAATAATAATGTTTAAAACAAACATTGCTCATCAAAAAATTGATATATTTTTTTAAACTTGTGATGCAATGATATAATTAGTTAAAACTATTTATTTTGATGCAATTTATTTGAGTGTTTTTTATACAATATATATAATTTGACTAAACTTATTAAAAAAAATTACATATTATTAATGATAATTAATTTTTTTTAAATAAAAGTTTAATATTAGTCTTTAAAAATCAATTTTTTTAAATAAATTTTTTAATTCTTATTTACTAATAATACTAAATACTAATAAATTATTTTTTTAAAAAAATAATTAGCAAAAAGATTTTAATTAAAATATTTTTAATAAAAAAATTTATTTACAATATTTACAAATTATATAAATAAATAAAAATAATTTAATTGTACATTATTTAATTTAACTAGTATATCTTGAACAATTATATCCATTTATTATTATTATTAATTATTATTATTATTAATTATTATTATTATCTGAAAAATGTACATTACAGTAAGTTTTATTTTTTAAATAAAAAAAATAAAAAATATTTTTATTTTACTAACCTTAACAATATACTATCATGGTCAATCATTACAATGTACTCCTTTTAAATGCTAACAACCCCCGGGCACTGGTAGGTAGTGAGTGAGTGATAGGCATCTATCCATTGCTGTATTATTAGGTGGGATATTTAAAAGTATAAAATAATTAATAACCAAAATTTTTTATTTATAATTTATTTTTAATGTCATCTATCTAAACAATAATAACAAAATCTAAAATAAAATAATAAAAATTATGATTTTTTTAAATTCAATATTTTTTAAATGTGAAAAATGTCAATTTTTTTAAATAGTCTATTAAATAAATTATAAGTTATAAAAATTATTTAACATATATATTGTACAATAAATTATATTCAATATATTTATATGTTTATTTTATTTATCTAATTCTATATATATATATATTTACTATAAAATTAAAAAAATATTAATCTATCATTTATTGTACATTATATACTAAAAGTTTTTTTTTTAAAAAAAGAAAAAAATCTATTACATGGAGTAATAAATTTTTATGAGTAGAGAGATATGAGATTTAAATTATTTATTTATTTATTTTTAAAAAATTAGTTAAATAATTATCATTATATTTATATATATATTATTATATATTATATAAAACTTACATTCAATTTGAGAGGAACTGTCGGACACTGGGCTTTGAGAGAGAGAGAGAGAGAGAGAGGTGTGTGAGATATATATATATCTAAATATATATATATCATATGTATATATATTTGATATATACGTACAAAATCATAGAGAGATTTAGAGATCAATTTTTTTTTTACAATCACAGCCCAAATCAAATCACTTTCAATATAAATAATAGTCTATTATTTTTTTTTAGTACAGTATATAAACCATGGATTTTGAGTGTCAATAATAATAATAATATAAAAAAAAACAAAATAATTAATATCAGGTGAACAACAAAAAAATGTATGTTAGACTTGAGTTAAATCGTTATCTAAAAAAAATAGATCCTATTATTTAAGAAAAAAAAACAAAATCAAAATTAATTTTATTTAAATAGTTTTTTTAATAAATTAAAACATAAGAACCGTTTCTTTTTTAATGGCGGATTAAATAATAGATAATCCATTAGATTTAGATAATCCATGTATTTTTTTTTGAGAGAGAGAGAGAGAGATAATAAAATCAGTCCAAACAATCAATCAATGAGGAGGAGAGGGGGTACCCATAGAGGCACCAGAAAATATTTTTTTTGAGGAAAAAAAATTAATTAATATAATAATTTTCATTTTAATTTTGTTTTAATTAGATTTTTATTTTATTTTTATTTTTTTCGAGTAGACTTATAAAAAACAATTTTTTAAAATTTAATTATATATATACAGAGTATATAACTTTAAAAATTAAGCATATTATTAAACGATTAAATTATAAATTTGACAATGATTTAGTTTATTAGATTTATTTATGAAAAAAAATTGTTTTAACATTTTATTATTATTTTTTTAAAATATAAGATGACTACTTAGTTTTTTTAGAGACAATTTAAATAATATAATGAATTAAAATAATAGATTTAATTTTTATTAATGAATATCTTTTTAATAATAATAATAATAGTAATAATTATTGACTGATTGATTGTCTCAAAACTCTAGATAGAGAGTACAAGAGAGACAAAAATATTAAATATAAAAAAATCAATACTTATATATATATATATATATAGACTTATAAATATGATTTAAAAAGAGATAATTAAAAAATAATAATTATTATATTTATATATAGAGTTTACAACAACAAAATTAATTGACAATTTTATATATTGAGAGATATTTTAGATAATAATAATAATTAAATAAAAAATTAATATTAAGTCACATATCAATTATAATAACAAAATGACAAAATAATATATATATAATTGTATATAATTTAAAATTATTATTTTTTTGTTGTTGAATTAAATAAAAAGTTATCAATAATTATAATAGTAGAAGTAATAATCATAAATAATAAAAATGATCTAGAGCAAATTATGTATTTTATGCATAGATTGATAAGACAATTAAAATATTAGTTATTATTTTTTTGAATTACAAAATAAATATAAAATAAAAAAAATCTATATAAGTATATGTAAACTATAGAAAAAATATTACCGTAAACTAAATTGATTATAAATTTGTTTTTTTTAAAAATAATAATTATTAAATTATCTCAATTGAGAGTCATTTTAATTGTTAAATTAGTAATATTTTGTTTGTTTGCTTTTTTTAAGGATAATTATTATTATTAAATAGTTTTTTTTAAACTAAAAATATAATATTATTGTTTTTTTTGGTCAAAATTAAAATCATAATAATAATTATAATATAGTAATCATACCGTAATTATAAAATAGATAAACATAAATTAAAATCAGATATATATATATATATATATATATTTAGTAAATTATTTTTTTTGTGGTTATATTATAAATTGTTTGTTGATTTAAAACATAAGTATAAACAAACTTTTTTTTTGGTCATAACTTAAAAATACAAACAAACAAAAAAACAAACAAATAATTAGTAGAAAGTAATCAAAATATAAAAATTCAGTCCATATTATCAATCAATTAGTAATTATTTTTGTTTCTCTTTATTATTGATTAAACAAACAAACAAACAAAAAATTAACTATCAATTTGTATGAGAAATTGTATGATAGGTTACGGTATGGTATATACGGTATGTGTGTCTGTATGTGAACATCAATAAGGTCTACCTTTTTTGTTGTTGATGTTGTTGTTGTTGTATATGTGTTACTCTTGGATGTGTAGGTCAGGTATGTAAAGATGATGATATCTGGTGGTGATAGTAGTAGTAGTGATGGTGGTGTCTGAAACAAATCTGGTACTCAGGTATGTATCAGTACCGGTCTTAGTATGGTTGCCACCGACCACTAGGCGGTGGTATGGGTGGCGGTGCTAACGATCCGCCGCCCATACCTCCTCCACCTACTCGGCCACCATAGCCGCCACCAACACCACTAATACCGGCACCTGAATTGCCGCCGCCTCCTCCATAACCATTACGTAAACCACTGCCATAGCCGCCACCCATTCCCGTACCGCCTCCTCCTCGTGATAGCTGGTCAATAGGACCACCGCCTCCGGAGACGCCTCCTCCGGACATTGAACCGTAACCGCCCATAGGCTGCGAATAGGCGGAAACGTCACCACCTCTTACACCATACATATCCTGTTGTTGTTGCGACGGTGGCGTAGCCAATGGCGCGACGCCTCCGCGAGCTTGTTGTTGCTGTTGCATCAATGGCGGACCTCCGCGTCCGTACATCGAGTCATAGGGCAATCCGCCTCCTCCGCCACCACCAGAACCCGAACGCATGACATCACTGTCTTGTCTATAGTAGCCTCCGCCGCCACCACCACCGTTGTCGGGATAGTAGGCGTCACGATATGGCTGATAACCACCACCGCCGCCACCAGTGTTCATGTCGTTAGGCGGGTAGCCATAGGAGGGCGGTCCTCCTCCATAGTTGCCGTGCATGGGTCCACCACCCATAGGTCCAGGTGGTCCATCGTATTGTCTGTTATTGTATGGACCACCACCTCCTCCTCGCTGGCCGTACTGATTGTTGCGCTGATACGGACCAGTATTACGTCCGTAAGACCGGTTGCCACCTCCTGGGCCACCGCCGCCACCACCACGTCGGTTATTTGTTATGTTATTATTACGGGTTTTACCTATTTTTTAAAAAAATATATGAACCAAAATAGTTAGTCATAATATTAGTAAACAGAGAGTCAGGGAGTGGACAGTGAATGCACTAATGACTCGAGGAATGGACGACATACCGGTTCCTCCGCTTAATTTGCTCGTTGATATCTAACAATTAAAAGGGAACGGTATTTAATTATTTTTAATATATATATATATATATAATTATACATATTATTTGAATACCGGTTATAATAATATTACCGATGAGAGAGTCAGAGAGAAAGAAAGAGTCAGAGAGAGAGAGAGAGAGAGAGAGAGAGAGAGAGAGAGAGAGAGAGAGAGAGAGAGAGAGAGAGAGAGAGAGAGAGAGAGAGAGAGAGAGAGATAGAGAAAGAAAGAGAGAGAGATAGAGTCAGAGAGAGAGAGAGAGAGAGAGAGAGTCAGAGAGAGAGAGAGAGAGAGAGAGAGAGAGAGAGTCAGAGAGAGAGTGTGAGAGAGATAGAGAGAGAGTGTGAGAGAGATAGAGAGAGAGAGAGAGAGAGAGAGAGAGAGAGAGAGAGAGATAGAAAGAGAGAGAGAGATAGAGATATAGAAAGAAAGAGAGAGAGAGAGAGAGATAGTGAGCACCGGTAGATAAACCGATATTAGACAACACATACCTGGACAGTGAGCTGTGAACCCATATAGTTATAATTGTTTAGCTTTTTGATCGCCTCATCCGCTTCTTCACGTTTGCTCATATGCTGTGAACGTATAGATAAATCAATCAATCAATCAATTATAACATACATATAAGGGCCGGGCGATTATCATATTTTTATAGGGCTAGTCTACAAATTATAAACTACTACTACTACTACTACTAGTATACTACTACTGACCACAAAACCATATTTGCCGATAAGATCGACCTGATTGACGGCACCGTACTTAGAGAACAGGTCCTCCAAGTCCTTGTCGGTACAGCCGTCGGGCAATCGGCCGACAAATACTTTGGCATTTTTCTGGTCGTCACCACTCATATCGTAACGGTTTTGTAGTCTTCAATGATATACAACTAATACTAGTATTTAAGCGCACTGTTAGGTCGGCTGAAAAAAAATTTGTAAAAAAAATAAATAAAATTTAATTAATTAATTAAAAAATTAAATACAAAAAAACACGTGTTATTTTATTATTAGTGATTATTATTATTATTATTATTACTTAATATGACAATTACTTTACCTATATATTAAATTAGTTAGAAAAATGACCAATATCCAAAATTAATTAATTAATTAATTAATAATTTAGTAAATCATATATGATTTTTTTGACAAATTGAGATAGGTCAACTGAGACAACAATAACAACAACAACAAAAATGATGATGATAATATTAAATAAATAATAATTTTTTAAAAATAAAATAAAATGGGCGTATTATATAATTTAGTAAATTATAATTGTTACTAGGTTATATAATAATTATTATTATTATTATTAAATAAAAAATTGTGTGTCTATATAGTTTAAATTATTTATTTTTAAATGTAGTATTATTATTGTTATAAAATTTATTAATATTAATATTATTGTTATTATGGTTGTCTACTATTATTATTATTATTATACATAGTAAAGGTAGTTATATATATAAAAAAAACCTACCGGTGCTTGCTGGTTTGTATAGGCATTGTTTGGTTGTACATTGTACAATATTATTATTGGAATACCGGTGCGCTATATAAATAACGTCAATTTAAGTTATTTTTAAAAATCAAATTTTAGTCTATAAATTAAACTTGATGATTTTTAAAAAAAATAATTGTTTGTTTATTTAATAACTATATATAATTAAAATTAGAATTTAATTAATATATAACTATAACTAATAATAATAATAATAATAATAATAATTAATTATATTGTTTTGTTTAAATTATAAATAAAAATTTTAACTTACATGTAATTAATTATTTAGTTAATTAAAATAAATTCAATTAAAAAAAAAAATCAAATTTTACTCTATAAATTAAACTTGATGATTTTTTTGATTGTTTATTTATTTAATAACTATATAATTAAAATTATATTTATTTATTATTATTAATTAAATTAGAATATATATATAACTAATAATTATATTAATTAATTATATTATTTTATTGTTTTATTTATTTATAATAAAAATTTAGTTATATGTAATTAATTATTTAGTTAATTAAAATAAATTCAATTTTTTTAAACAAAAAGTTTATTGTATATGTTTTAATTAGTTATTATTTATACAAATGTAAACAAGCATAATTAATAATAACCTAGTTAATTATTATTATTATAAACCATATAAATTGATTAATTTTATAGTTAATTAATTAGTTACAGTTTTTATTTGTTTTATTGAAAATAATACTTAAATATTAATAGATTAGTGAATTTGTATAAATAATTTTGAAAAATAACACATTTTCAAAACTAATTTATTTAATTTTTAATAATAATTTATTACAAACTAATTTATAACTGTCAATTTATTATCTATAAGTATATAAATAAATGATAACTTTAAAATATCTTTTATTTTATTTTTAAATAAAAAAAATTATGTATTATATAATAGTCATAAAATTTGTTAAATTATGTGTTATAAATTTTAATGAACTTTTTTGTTTTGTTTAAAATAAAACATTAACTAAACTTTTTTATTATATCAATGAATTATTTTTTTATAGTTTTTATTAATATTAATACAGTATATATATTGTCCTTCAAAAACTAGTAGCTTATAAAACTAAATTTATAAACAAATTACTATTGAAATATATTGTATAGTAAATAATTAATTGTAAAAATCTATTTTTCATTTATTATTTTAGTCACACACACACAAACATAGATACACACACATACACACACATACACACATATACACACACATACACACATATACACACACATACACACACATACACACACATACACATACACACACATACACACACACATACACATACACATACATATACATCTATAAAACTATAAAATTAAAAATCTAGTAAAATATACAGGTATAGTTAGTGGAAGCAACTATTTTGTTTTAAAAAAAATAATAAAACAACATAATGATAAATTAATTAATTATTTGTTTAAAAAAAATATTTTTTAGCAATATATTAGATTCAGCTAGATACACTGCAATGCATATTAAAAAGATGATCTAATCACATTTTTTATATATTTTAAAACATAATTAATTTAATTTTTATTATTATTGCTATAATAAAAATGCTACTGGCGTACTTTTAAAAAAAATATTTTTTTTATTACCTTGTCAATTTTTTTTTAAAAAAAACCATACAATAATTTTGTTTGAATAATTCAAGGTTATTTGTAAACTTGCATATTTTTTTAGTTATTATTAATTATTATTTAAAACAATATATGCACATCACCTTTTTCAAAAAAAAATAAAATAATATTAAGTTATTGAATGATTGTGTAGTATTAAAAATTTTTATGAATTTTATGTTTTTTAAACTAATAAATAAAATGAAAATTTTAATAAAATTCATGTATTATTAAAAATAATAATAATGTTATAAAGATAATTCAACAAGAAAAAATTTATATATATATATATATATCTAAAAATCTTTGAAAAATTTTTATTGTCTATATATTTCAAGTATAAACTTTTTTAAACATTTTTTAAAAAGTTATTTTTATTATTTGTTTAATAATAATAATAATAATATTATTATTAGTTGTATAGACAGTATAAATAAACTTAAAAATTTTTAAAGATCTTATATTTATATATACAGTATTAGAAATTTTTAGATACTGTTAAACTAAAATTATTAATAAATTATTATTAGTGTGTAAAAATTTAATTAAATATGAACTGTTATAATTATTATCTAGCTACATTATTGTTGTTGTTGCTAGTTTTATCATCATGGACAGTTAGTAGTCAATCACCGGAAATCAATGATGAAATTGTTGGCACCAATTGTAATATCCAATTACCTGCCAGACCTACAGCTAATGCCCATACACTTGAGGGACTGTTTATTGTAAGTTTAATTAAGTTTAATTAATAGTAATTAAAAAATGTCTTTTTTCATAAATAAATAAATATTTTTAATAAAATGTAAATTAAATAAAATTATATATTAACTAAATATTGTTATACAATATTAACTAACTATAATTATACAATATTAATTAAATATTATTATACAATATTAATTAACTATTATTATATTAACTTTTTATTATTATATTAACTAACTATTATTATAGTTAACTAACTATTATTATATTAACTAACTATTATTATACAATATTAACTAACTATTATTATTATATTAATAGCTAATGAGACATGGTATACGTGCTCCGTGGACTACCTATCCATTGGATCCATTTGCCAATGAGACCAACCGGTTTCCCAATGGTGGCTCACAATTGACCGATGTTTGTCTAAAAATTATTTTTTTTATATAAATTTATAATATATTAATTATTTAATTCAAAAAAAAATGATGAGCTCAGGCAGGTATTAATCAGGCCTACAATATGGGAAAATACTATAAGATATTGTACAACAAATTCATACGGGCTAACCAAAAACAGTCGTATTTGCGGGCATCGGCCGCCCAACGGTGTATCGATACGTTGGCCATTGTAACCAAAACATTGTGGCCGCCAAACGCTTACAATGAAAAATCATGGCAACCGGTTAGTTGGTTTAAACCCAAGTACTTTCAAACATACCGTTCCTCAAAATAATTATATTTTACTATTATTATTTTTATAATTAGATGCTGTTTTCATTGCCCAAACGCATTGATAGTGTAAGTGTGTTGGGGATAGTTGTGTTTTTTTGTTGTTGATGTTATTGAGTTAAGTGATAATCATATGTATATAAACACAGGTATTATATGAGGAACCGGACTGTCAGCCGGCCGAAGATGCCGAACACGAGAACTTGGAGACCAAAGTGGTTAAGGACTATGAGGCCGATCCCAAGATACAGGTGCTCTTATAGTTTATAATAATTATTGTTTTTCGGGTGTGTTTAATGCCTTACTTTTCAACAACTTATAATAATAAAAGAAATTATATCAACTCGTGGCCAACAAAACTGGCCTCAAACCGGACATGTATTCAATGACCAAAGCTTTCGATTGTTTCCGATGCGAAAAACTTAATGGTCTTCCGTCACCCAAATGGGTTACACCCGATCTATACGACCAAATGGGTGACGTACTGTCCCATAGGCTAAACTTTTTCTATCAATCGACAAAAGCTCAACGATTGAGGGCCGGTATGTTATTGGAAAAACAAATACTTAATTTATTTTCTCATTAATAAATAACATAACTTTTTTTTCACTCCCAACCCACCCACACCTCCCGAAAAAAAAACTTAGGCCCAATACTCGAGGATTTCATTGAACATATGAACAAAATTACTAATGCAAAACCGGGAGACAAACCAAAACGTTTGCTTATCTATACATCGGTAAGTCAACCTCTTTCCACACATCCCTACCCCCCATAAGTCCACTAACCTATCCCTTACTAATAAAATTATATATTTTAATCTACTTATATATATATATATATTGTAAACAATTTTTTGTTGTTGTTGTCAATAAAAGCACGACTTCAAGATAGCGGCTCTGTTGGCAGCCATTGGCGACCCCCAGCCAAAGTACCCGCCCTTTGCCGCCGCCCTGATATTTGAGTTGCACAAAGTCGACGGCAAACACATTGTCCGATCCCAGTATGTCGACCAAAACACCCACTGGCCGTACAGTGCCATAAAAATACCGTTAAGCAAATGCAAAAAGCTAGCAGGTATGTATGATTTTTTTGGGGGGGGGTAGACCCCTTACTAACTACTTGTGCTACCTCCCCCTTCCCAATTTTGGTCTGTATTATCTTAAAATATTATAGCACCTATGTAAATAACTAACTAATTAAATATTTGTAACCCCCCCCCAATGCTAGTTTGATACTATAAATAAATACTAAAGTATATAATTATATATTACTTTTTATTATTTATGGGAACCGGTAGGTGAATCGTCTACCGAGTGCTCGTTGGATAATTTTGTCCAATCAGTGTCCAACTTGGAACCGGTTGACTGGCCAGTCGAGTGCAAACTTAACTGTACCTATAATGCATTTCAAGTGGCCGAGGATAACCTTGGTAACACATAAATACTGAGCAAATATAAAAACGGGTAGTTGTACTGGTACAATATTTTTTTTTAAAAAATTAAAAATTAAATAAAATAATTTTTTGTTACAGTATTAGCACATTATTGTAAAGTACAATATATAATGAATTTTTTAATTAATAAATACAATTTTTTGTTTGTTTGTTAAACTCAATCGTTAATTATAATTAAATAATAATTTCATTTAGTTATAGTATAACTTAAACTAATGAAATACAATTTGTTTTTAATTTTAAATAATTAAAAATAAATCATTTAAAAAAACTTAATTAATTATATAATAGTTAATTTATTAAATTAGAAATAATTTAATAAATTTAAAAAGTTTACACTAAAGTTAGATTAAACTAAAATTTTTTAAAAATTTGTAATACTATAATATAATACTAATAATTATTTTATTTATTTTTTTAAACAAATTAGTTACTTAACTAGTTTAACAAAAAACAAATTTAAATAAAAATATATATGATAAATCTACATGGTACCATTTTTAATAACATCAATGATCCAGTCAATTTTATATGAAACACGTTGCCAATAGATTGATGCATCCATACTATCGTACATACAGTGATTAGTTTTACGATCTTTACGGTAAACATCCCATTCAAAATGACTGGCCACACCAATGAGCACTGCCCTACCTCCGACATACTGTACCAATGGACCACCTGAGTCACCCTTTAAAAATAAAGCCAAAAAATTACATTTCAAATAATATATGTAATACAATACTAAATATTACCTGACATAGAGAGGTACCATTTTGGACACTGGGATATAGTTTAGCCATAATTACTTGATTGAGTGTATGATTATTGGGATCAGCCGCTAGTAGACGCACATAACCCAGAGGCCAGCCATCAATAGGTAGCTTAAGATTGTTGTCAAGCAAACCCCAGCCGGCAACCATTGCCAACTCGGGACTGGTATTTACAATCATGGGCTCTGGTAGACAAATCTTATTGATCCGATTTCCGTTGTTGTTGTAATAAACTAGTGGCCTATCTACACCTACCAGTGCTATATCGCCCAGATTCAGTAGGTTATAATCGGGATTGAAATCAGGATGAATATGTATAGACATTATTTCATATATACGATCGATATCGTGGCCGTCGATAGTCATCATTTCATCTAATGATTGATAGCCTACATGTGCTGTCACTGTATGTGGACATACATATCGACTAGAATTACAGCTAAAAAAAATTTATCGATATTTTACCACAAAAAAAATCACTAATTAGTAATCTTTATTATTATTATAATTATTTTTGAAATATTATTAATTAATTATTATTATTAAAAAATAAATTAATTAAATTAACTAGCTAAAAATTACTTACTAGACAACATGAGCAGCTGTCAATATCCAATAGTCATTTATAATTGAACCTGAACCAATACTACTTATAAATCTTGATAATAATAATAATAATAATAATAATAATAATAATAATAATAATAATAAATAATTATTATTATCAAAATATAAATGTAAATATAACTATTGTCAAAAAAATTATATTAAATTATTTTTAAAAAAATTTATTTATTTCTTAATATACTTAAAATATATAATAAATTTATAATTATATATATTGTAATTCATTTATATATAATACATACTCTTTAGTATATTTGTCAACAAGATTTACAAACAATAGTACCAAAAAGTTCATCTCACCCCTGAGCCCTGGTCTACCGTTTCTAATACGACTGTCCCCGGATGATGATGATGTTATTGTATCGGCAAATGTATTGTGAAATCTGAAACACTGGCCATTCAATTGGGGCGATTCACGGGTTATGCCGCACTCGGGGTCATCGCTAATACCGGGATAGACACCTATGCGCGCGTGTATAGCATATACTTGTATTGATAACAATAATTGTATTAATACAACAATAATTGTAATAATTATCAATAGTTTAATGATTATAAATTTTATATGAATATATTGTGATGCCATTTGAATTATCAATATAAAATTTTTATTATTATTATTTTATTACTAAACTAATAATTATTTATAAATAAAATATAATATTGAATTACATTTATATGTTACTAAACAGCATATATAATATTAAATATATTGTATCAATAAATATATTTTTTTAAATATACACAATTTTCTTACTAAATATCTAATTTTAAAAAATATGAATAATTAACTTATATATTAATTGTAAAAAATATTAAATGTATTTAAATTACACTAAATTATAAATATAATGTAATATAATTTAAACAAAAAAAAATATATTATTAAATATTAAACAACTAATTGAATAATAAATTTCAATAATTATTTAAAAAAAAAGTTTTACATATAAATTATTTATAATTATAATACTAATTATTTTTATTTAAAAAAACAAATTAATTACCTAAAAATACAAATTAATTATTTAAAATAACAAATATGATATTTAAAATAACAAATTTATTATTTAAAATAACAAATTTATTATTTAAAATAACAAATTTATTATTTAAAAAAACAAATTTAAAAAAATAACTATAAATCTACATGGTACCATTTTTAATAACATCAATAATCCAGTCAATCCTATAGGACACACGTTGCCAATACATAGTAGCATTCATACTCGGGTGCATACATAGCGGGTCAGTCCTATTAATTTCGTCACCTCTACGATAGTTATCCCATTCAAAATGAGTGGTTACACCGATGAGCACTGCCCTACTACCAACATACTGAACCAGTGGACCACCGGAGTCACCCTTTTTATATTTTATTCATACAATAATAAGCACACAGACAAACAAAAAATAAAATCTAATAACAATAGATTATATATATATGTCCTAACCATACACATAGCGGTACCATTTTGGACACTCGGATACAGTTTAGCCGAAACCAGTTGCCATAGTGTACGATTACGTGAATCAACCGGTAGTAAACGTACGTAACCAATTGGCCAGCCATCCATCGGCAGTGTACCGTTATCATCCTGGAAACCCCAGCCGGCCATCATTGCCAGTTCGGGAACGGTATTAACAATCATACGTTCCGGTAGACAAATCTGGTTGATCCATTTGCGTCCATCACTACCATTGTTGTTGATTAGCGGCCGATCTACACGTAACAGTGCCAAATCGCCGGCATTTATTTCTGAATTATCCGGTACTTCATAAACGGGATTCAAGTGTATAGCCGTTACACTATATATTTTGTCCGGGTCCTGGTCAACCATTTCATTGAACGACATATAGCCTATACGGGCTTGGACTGTATGCGGACATACATATTGATTTGAGTCGCATCTAATTAATTAAATTTAAATAATAAAAAATTAAATTTTAAATAACACAAATTTAAATAACAAAAAATTAAATTTAAATGACAAAAAATATTAAATTTAAATAACAAAAATCCTAAATTTTAAATAACAAAAACTATTAAATTTAAATAACAAAAAATATTAAATTTAAATAACAAAAAACTAAATTTTAACTAACAAAAAATTAAACTTTAAATAACAAAAAATTAAATCTTAAATAACAAAAAATACACAATTTTTTGTATCAATAATCAAAAAATAATAACTATTATTTTGTTTTCAATGATAATACAGTAATAATAATAATAATAAACAGTTTGATTATTTAATTTATTTTTTTAATTGTTTAATAAAATTATCTAGCTAAAAATTTTTGATTTTTTTTCTAACCTGACAACATGAGCTGCTGTTAGTATCCAATAGTTATTAATAATTGAACCGGATCCAGCACCATTGGTTAATCTATAGTATAATTATTATTATTATTATAATTATTATATTACTATAAATTTATTTATTAAAAAAACATACATTTATAGATAAATATAATTTTGTATTTAATAGTAAATATTTTTTTATATATATATATAAAATACATACTTTTTAGACACTTTGTCTATACGATTAACAAACAATTGTACCATAAAGTTCATCTCACCCCTGAGCCCTGGCCTACCATTCCTTATACGATTGTCGCCGTATTTGTCGGCAAATGTTTTATGAAATCTGAAACACTGGTCATTATTATTCATTTGTGGCGATTCACGGGTTATACCGCACTCCGGGTCATCGCTAACACCGGGATAGACACCGATACGCGAGTGTTGTTGAACAGTGTATACATTGGTTATCATAAATAATAATAATAATAACACAAGTATTTTAATCATAATTTTTATTATTTCATTAAATCTGTAATAATATTTTTTTAATAATACATTTATATATTTATATAGGAAATTAAAATATATTGTAATTTATATAAATATATATATTAAGGATTAATTTTATTATAAATATGATATGCAATTATATTTAAGATATAGATATATTCAATCAACAACAAAAAATCATGTAAATGAAATCATATTTTACTTAAATTACATTTTAATTAAATATAAGATAATTTTAAATTAAATTATAAGTATATTAAATTATAAACTACATTTAAAGTAATTTAGTAAAAAAAATAATTTCAATTTTATATATTATTATTACTATTACTATAATATCATACATGAAAGTTAATTTCAATTTCAAATATAAATTCTTTTACAAATATCTAATATTTTTATTACAATATCTAATATATTTTTATTACAATATCTATTTTAATTTCATAAACTGTAAACTAATAATTATCATATTAATAAATATTATATATAAATATATATATATATGTACTGTATGTATATATATATATACATAAGTATAAATAAAAAGTTATTTTCAAATATAAAAAACATTACTTAAAAAATAGAAAATAAAATTAATTAACTGAGAATTTTAATTAACAAAAAATATTAATTTTAATTAATTTCTACCTAATTTAATTAATTAAATAATTTTTACAAAATTTAACTTTATATATTAAACTTAGCAATTACATTTTATATTTACCAAAATTATATTTTATTATAAAAAAAATTTCATAAATTAATAATAAGCAACAAAAAAAAACAGAAATATTTTTATAACTAATAGTTTTATACTACTTCACTAAATATATAAATAAATAAAAAATAAAAGTATATT